AACGTGTTTTTTTTTTTTTTTTTTTATTGTTGTAACTGACGGTTTCGGCCCGCGGCCGTTTTTTCCAGGTCGATGTCGAGCATGGTGACCGGCGGCCACCATCACCACCATCACCATCACCCGGCGAGCTCGTACCCGTACATGTTCCACCATCCGCCCCCGGACTCGCTGTACAACCATCCGGCGTCCTCGTCGCCGCGCGTCCCGTGCCAACCGGCGCCCGCGCACTCGGTGAACGCGAACACGCACCCGGCCGCGTATCCGACGTCCACGCACCACGCGTCCAACACGTCGCCCGGAGCCACGGGCACAGGTAAACGAAATCGCCAATGTCGTCGCGCCGCGTAAAAGTGCGCGCCGCGTACCGGTTTACCGGCCGCCGCGCCGACGCCGTGTGACCGGTTCCGCGGCCGTCGCGGGTCGCGCACGAGTCACGCGTCGATCGCCTCGCCGTTGTGCGCCGACAACGGGCCCAACAGAAGCTATCGATCGCTTTGCACATGAGTCGATGGCAGTGCGGCCGACGGGCGACCAATGAATTGTAGAGTTTATGGACTACACGGTATTCGTGATAACGAGACAATGCGGTTTCATTATCAGATTTTACAGTTTTTAACGTGTCCCGGGTACCGCCAATTGGCTGACGCGTCCATTAAACGTATTATCGCAACACGCGTTTATCGTGTTATTACCGATAAACGATCATAGGCGAATCAACCCCGTGCGTACCTGTTAATAACCCGGGAACCGACTAATACAAAAAAATAAGTCTCGGCAACACCGGTCGGGGAGGTATAGCGCGTAAAGTTATTCAACGTACAATATTCTCGTAAGCAACGATACGTCGCAAACGAAAAACGATTCCGAACGAAGCATTCGGTCGTGCATGCACGTTTTGAACGGGCCGTGACATTTACGGTTTTCGTTAAAAAGACGATATTGCCAGCGGATAGGCCGTAAGAATAATTTAAATTTTTTATACGTACGCGACGCAAAACAGTTCTGGACAGAATATTATGTTTGTCGTAGTTTTTCTCTCGTCGCCGAGGTGACCCGGAAACCAACAAAATGTATACCGAAAATATCCAGTATTCTCATTTACCGGGAACATTACAGAGAAAATCGAAAAATCGCCTCCTAAATATACTATAATTCGATTGAAAACGATTCGAGAAAGTTGCTATACATTTTTCGGTTGGAGCAAGGTTTCTGATTCAGGAAAGTTACTAACGTTTTCGGTCACCCGGCGAAGAGATTCCGATTTCTTCTCGCGCCTCCCGAGAGATTAACTACATATTTTTTTGTAAAACCAATACACACCTACCTTTTTATTCGTTACACTCGAAACATAAAAACAAATTGTAAAATTTGGAGAATGTTCGAACCAGTATAAAAATAATTCCATTTAATACGTTTTAGAATGCCACGATTTCTAAGTTTTCGTAAACATTTTAACTCGTAACGTATAATTAAAAAAAAATGTATAAAACACTACGTCACGTCCGACTTTTAGATTCTAGTTTCACTATGATGTATTCTTTTTTATGCTTAAACATTTTTTCTTCCAGATATCATATTCAATCAACAATCTTACAAGAACTTTCTTTTATGATTTTCAATCTAGTTTTTGTGTAGGTCAGAAGTCATTTTCCCACATTCCTTTTAGGTAACTAGCTAAATAGAAAAACTTGTCGATTTCTTGGTTACCTATATTGCCTATAAAGTTCATAAACAACGACTAATAATACTCCGCTCAAAATCGTTTTTCATTAGTAACGATTTGTCGTTGCGTATACAGATATTAATCGAATAACTCTATGTATCCTCCCTTTCAACTTCCCTCGTAAAACAGTGGCACGTTCGTCTAAAGTATCAGTTGCATTTTTTTACCACAATAAAACTAGTGATTAATCTCGTGTAAAATTTTCAAGCATTTGTACGATACCAAAATCCGTTTAAAATGGAATTTCAACCATACGAGTTCACAAATTTCGTAGTCTGAAAATTGCACAACAGCCGTTTTATCTTTAAAAACCGATTTTAAAGACCTTTTCGTTTGGATTTTGTGTGAACGCAAATGGCCTGAAAGGCAGCGACAACAGACACGGGTACAACTAGACCGCGAACTTTGGAGGGGGGATTCTAAAATTATAGACACGTCACAGAAGCCTACAGAGGTGACGTCTCGATAATCGCCTAGACGCGACATCCATGTAACAAGCGACTACAACTTTTCATTTGCAATTTTTCGCATAAAAATGTACATCATAACTAGAGACCGGATTTTTATGTTTTCACATATTTTTACTGAGACTATGCAGCTCCAATTGGATAAGGTTTCTCGACGATTCATTTACCTATGAACCGATATACGACATTTTTTTTAGCGCATAGAAAGAAATATTTCGAGGTTAAAGATTATTCCGTGCAAAAAACATATTTTAGGGAATATTTCGGCATCTTGGGGTTTAATTTGAATAATTTTATACACATTTGTATATAAATGACGCAATGCAATGTTGATAAGAAAATCAATTATAAATTATTCTCTATGTCTCTTACTGACGTCAATGAATATAAACTTATATTGAACGAAAGATGAACTAACATGTCTCCAGAAAACATGGAGCGGTCATAAATTGTTTGAGTACTCAACGTTGATCTGCTGTTCGACCATTTGCAATTATTTTGTTTATTTTTATTATTTAAAACGCATTAATATTATTATTTACTAAGGTGTGTTTGCAATTTTTATGAAAAAATATTGTTTTTCATAAAATAATATTTTTGTACGTAAAATATTATTTCGATGAAACAAGCATAGCAAACGTCTTGTTTTAAGGTTTTTAAAAGCATATGAATCCGGTTTCTAATTATTAAACTTATCGACTGCAGTATTTCGCGTACGTGTAACCAATCGATACCCAATCGATTTTCGCGGGTGCCGATTTCAAACGCGGGGGCGCTATAGAACCCCTAGCGCCCGCACCCCCGCCCCCTCCCGGTTACGCCTGGCGGCGACCGTAATGAGGGGGGGGCGGAATTACGGTGGGGTGGGGGGCATCGCTCCATCCGATTTATGGAAAACGCCGTTCGTATCGGTTCTCGCGGCGTTTACGCGCGACAAATTATAATGTTAACACTGTAAAATAACGGGTATTTATTTATTTTTTTTCCGTTGTGATTGCAGGCGTGATATCCGCCGGGGTGTCGGTGCCGGTGCAAATACCGTTGAGCCAAGCGCCGGAACACACGTACTGGTCGAGACTCCAGTGATCGGACAGGAAGAACTGCGCCGCCGTCCGCAGCGCGCCGGCAGTATACGGTTTTCCACGGTCCGCGCAATAATGACATGAACATCGAAACTCCGGTGACACTTCGCCGTTGACCGCGGTCGCTTCTATAGGATAAAAAAAAAAAAAAAAAAACCGGTCACCTCTCCGCGCGCGGTGACACGGTCGTTTTTTTCGTTTTCGGTCCCGTCGAGCGTTACGACCTCCCCCCCCCCTCCCGGTAGGAGAGACGCCTCGATAGGACGGTCGCCCGTCCGGGTCGCGGGGTCATTACTTCCGGTCCATCCGGCGCCATCGACGCGCACGTGGAAGTTTTACCGGTGTTATCGTTGTTCGGTTATTGTCGCGCGTTTACCGTACAAAGTGTACCGTTGTCACGTCTCATGACGTTGCGCGCAACGCGCTGTAAAATAACAACACTAACAATTATATTGTAAAATCATTGCAAAATCTCACGAGTTGCATGTATATACGTATCGTTATACGACCTCTTTACCCGATTGATGTTTTTTTTTTTTTTTTTTTTTATTAAAACACACACACACACACACACACACATATATATAAATATATTTTTATTTTTTTTTTTTTCGTGTATAAATTGTTAATAATAATGATATTTTATATTATAACAATATGGAAAATCACCGTAACCTGCGTTACGAGTGGCGCGCAGAACAATGTGAATACGTAACGAAAAATTAATCGATTAGTATTATTGTGCATTATAAAATGTTATTGTATTATCGTATAGTCGGCCGTAATATTATGATAGTCGTCGGATTTTTTTTTTTTTTTAAAATCCTTTAGTTTTTTAATTTTATTTTCGTACGGCGATTCACAACTACCGCGACCGCCCGCGTAGCGGAACCGCCACGTACGTAATCATTATTATTATTATTATTATTATTATTATTATTATAATTATTATTATTATTATTATTATTATTATTATTATAATTGTATACCTATACTCTATTCTACATTATAGGATTCTCGCATATCTAATTTAACATTATTATAATTACGTTATTTTTACGGTAAATGTAGATTTTCTAATTATAGTATATAGCTAAAGTGATCGAATTTTTTTTCCGGGATTTTTTATTTTTTCTTTGATTTTATTTGTTTTATTTCTAACGTGTACATTAAAAATAATATATTATATTTGTGTCGTGACGAAGCGATATTGTTTAATACGAAATGTTTAAAAAAAAAAAAAAAAAAAAATCGATATTATAATAATATACTATTATTATATTATACATTGTATCATCAATAAACGAGAATCATGATTTTTTTTTTGAAAACACCGTCGTATTTTTTTATGATTTAAAAAAAATAATAACGTAAAAACGGTCAACTTTTTTCGCTCAAATAATGCAAATGGGCGGTAAAGAAGTGGACGTTTTTTTCACGTGAAACATACAAATAAACAAGGGCATTTACCCCGGGTTTTAAAATATTTATCAATAGATCAACGAAGGTATTCGATTTGTGGCAAATTTTACAAAGTAGTGCGAGTACGTTGATTTCATTGGTATTCCGCTCGTGAATGGCGTCCAAGTGATGTATTAAACAAAATGGTGTAGTTAAATTAGAAGTTTACACATAAAAAATACATACCTAAATGTATATTTTAGATTCGGATCGTGGCGGGGAATGTATTGTTTTTATAATGAAATTTTGATCCGATATATAAAATGTACCTCGTTTTGTGAAAGGAAATGCCATCTCACTAGTACTTTATCGAGAGGACATTTTTTTGATTTTCCCAACGGTTTTCGTAATAATTGGGAAAACCCGGAAAAATGTACGAACATTTACAAAAAAAACTTCGCTTCGAATCGTTGTTTGTTATTTAATGGTCTTCTGTCGTAGCGCACAGACATAAATTAAATTCCCATTTATATCCTACATTCCCAACTTCAACACCTACACCGGTGGCCCACCCGTCGTGCGAAGTATGTCCGTCTATTTTAAATTATCTTTGGTCCAGCGAACGTAATGTCTGCCCGTGCGAACAAACTCTCAGAACATCACTCATTACGAATAATGTATATTGTTTGTGTAGGATAGATTTTCGAGACTCGGTAAGAAAAGAAAATCATCCTAATACGAGTACTGTAGTACAATTTTTCAATGAAAAATCGTGAAAAATCGACCATTTTTAAGTATAGATTATTTTACCCGTCGAAATTCATTAGATTTTGCTAGGAAATGTTCAGAATTTGCCAAGAAGACGCCATGCAATTCAACTTATTTCGCAAACAAACATGCCGGTACGCGGTGTCGACTTGACGCCGAGCATCGGCGCACATATTTGTTTCTCAATTAATTTTCACGTCAGGTCGGGTCGATCACGGTGGCACGTTTGTTTGCGAAACAAAAATAACTGTCTGAAAATCGTCCAACAAAATCTTGCGAGTTCGGGTAAAATTAAAGACTTTCCGAAGACATTATACCGGTGCCGAAAATTATTATTGCGAACAATTGAAATGTTTTTGTGTGGAGGGATGGTAATATATATATTACAGTCGTCTTTGGCGCAGCAGCACGCTGCTGGATGAATTTGATCTCCCGAGGGGAAAAAATAGAGAAAAAAAAAAAAAGGTTTTTGTTCGCACGATCCCCAGAAAACAATGTGTGTGTGTATATATATATATATATATGTGTGTGTGTGTACAACAAACGCAAGTATAAACGTAGAAGACGGTGGCGGCGGGACGGGAATTTTAACGCGCGCCAAAAGAAGCGGAAGACGCGCGCTAAAAGATACGCCGAACTAATGAAAAACGCGAGCATATATTTTCGAAGGGGCGACAAGAGGGAGAAAACGGACGGAAGAGGTTATGACGGAGTGCAGTGGTGGAAATATACGAGCGCACGCAGTGGAGACTGCAGGGTAGGTACACTGGTACAGTACGGTAAAGAGAGGGCGAGGGAATAAAGGGCGAAAGTATATATACAATAATAATAATAATAATAATAAAATGTAATCGAACCACGGATAAATAATGGCGAAGGGAAAAAAGTTTAAATATTTTTTTGACTTTTGGATTCTGCGGAGTATAACGAAAAAGCTATTATAGTTTTACAGAGATGTGCGTTTTGTTCCCGCGCGGAAACCGCTTTTACGTTTAGTAAAAATACTCAGATTTTTTATGCCGTACCAAGCTATATGAAAATAAAATATGCGGATTTTCCGTTTGATGCGGTTCTCATTTATTTGAACATTTTCGCGAAATTCAAAAAAAAAAAAAAATACTTTTTCTAAAAATGTATTTTATTTTAGTGAAACTAACGCTGCGAATTTATCACGCAGTACTTCAAATGATTTCCGTTCAGCGTTACTTTTATACGATAACATTTATCGACATTTTATTAATTCTTTTTTTTTTTTTTTGATTTATCGACTAATATTTATTGGTCGAAGTGTGAGATGCAGTGAGAAAAAAAACATCAACTAATTTTTTAGAAATTTAAGCGTACCTCTACTGTTTGTTTGAAGTGGAATGCATGAGAAGCAGCGATGATACAAGGAGGAGGCGCCAAGGCGGTTACCCCTTCTCTTTTGGCCGTATTTTTAACCTAATTTTTGTATTCTACAATTGTTTAAATAATATATATATTTTTTAAATAAAAACCGCCCTCAATTGAAAAACCCCAGGATCCGCCATGGATGGGACGGTACATATTTTTTATTTTTTACAAAATGTATTTTCATTAATATTTGAACTTAAAACGCTTATAAAAGAAAAAAACTACTACATTACGCTCAGATTTTTTTACTACAAATTTCAGCTGACAAAAACAATTTCCAATCGCTCAAAACCAAATAAAATTTTAAAAAATTCGAAAATTTCAAATAGCTATGTAACATAAAAATTGCCAGAACGATTTCAAAATTGTCCCGGGTCTCGGAAGAACTGTGGGCGTAAAATGAACTATACCTAAATTAGTATTCAGTGAAATGTTCGGCCTCTACGATTGTTTTTCACCGAATAAACAAAACAGAATATAACAGAAACCGTACTGTGTAAATGTGACAGTTAAAAGTTTTCCCAACGGTGTCGCTTGTAGGCTTGTCTTCATAATTCAGAATATTGCGAAGGAAATTCAAAAAATAACCTCCTCATTGTACCAACGAGACGCGAATTTTACTGTAGAAACCATCACCTCTAAAGTTAATGAACGGAGCCAGATATCTGCTGGTAGAAAAGTTGTTCACGAGCAGGAGAAAATACCAAAACACACATAAGAGTAGAATCTGAAATAAATACCTACAATCTATTTTATGCAAACAAAAGTTAGCCTGCAGTCGGTAGTGTTATTCGTGTTTGCTTTCGGAAATTACTCAATTATGTCCAAAAAATCGGTGCGAGTATTAAGTCGATTTTATAATAATCGCAACGGACGGTAATATTTATTTTTTTTTTTTTAGTCTTACAGCGTCTCTTCAATTTTATATTTTTCCAATTCGAAAACTGCTACGATATTAAACATCATATTAAACGCATAACCGCGTTTTAGTTTGTTATGATTACAGTTTATAAACTATAATCGCTCTGTATATCCTATAATATACCATCCCAACTGCCCACCTACAACAGTGGCCGTCATCAGTATCGACATTAGTTTCTCCATCGATTATGAAAGCATACTATAGTCAGTCACTATACTGTACTGTGTTGCGATGTTAATGTACATAAAAACAATTAATAATAATATAAAATATAATGTTCACAATAATTACTGCATTCTGTCATGTAAAAAAAAAAATTAATTATCGCCACGGATTTTACTCGTCACGTAATGATGCTCAAAGTGAAGGAAAATAATTATAATAAAAAAAATTGATGTCGTATTAATTTCGTGACAATAATATAACATACATTTTGTTTTACCACACACCGACGATATTTTGAAAAAAAATAAATAAAAACAGTAAATATCGCATCGTAAAATAGTCGAAAAAATCGGATTTACTCGGGGTCTTCGCGAGGATATTCGTGAACCGCCCTGTATTTATAATAATACGTTTTAGGAACCTAACTGAACCGATTCGTAAGGTTTTTATTTTTAATTGCCGCGCGACTACGTACAATCTCGTAATAATATAATATTCTATTACACCGAACACCAGTTTCGAACGATCAAATTATAATGTCTCGTATAATATAATATTATGACAGTGCACAATGCAATACGAAATTATACGGTTAATTGCAGCGACGTCGACAAACGGTCTTTAAAATATAAACGGCATAATATGGTTTTACAATGATAATTATATAGCGTCCTTTAAATATAATTTATTATTATTTTATTTTTATTTTTTTATTCTTTTTTTTTTTTCTACAAAGTCGCGGTGTTATCGATGTACGTCAAAATAAACGACCTACGCTGAAAAACCGCTGGCGTTTTCGTTCGTGTTTACACGCGTAAGTCGAAAACAGTAGCGGTCGGTTAACAGAAAAAAAAAAAACAACACAATTGTTTTCCGCGTGTAAAGGAAAAAACGTACGGTGCACGATATTAAAAAAAAAAAAAAAAAAAAAACACAAATTTGTACGAATAGCGAGTATAATGCACTTGGCCGAAAACGGTAATATTTCAATCGGTTTTAAGTAGCTGAAGCCCAAACTTTAAAAAAATTCCTCGCGGGGTTACACGGTCAACTTGCAAATTACGGGTACGCGAACTCACGTCTATTTACAATTCGCGGGTTATTAAACATACAAGTTGTTTGTAACGATTCGGCCGCGGTGGGGCAGGGGTTGACTTCACAGACCGCAGCCGTGTATGCGTTTGGGCCGAACATTTAGAATACTATTTGGTATTTAGTATACTGTCTGCTGTATTCTGAAACCCGAATGGTTTGCCGTCGATGATAAAATGTCCTAGTAAAATTGTCTACCCGTGAGTTTCTCAATGTCCATATTTACTGGAGCCTGGTGTTTTGATTAATATTTTATTCGGTTTGATCCCGATCGCACCGTATCTACAAACATTCCTTTAACGACCTCGACAATACATTCCTTAAATTAAATATAACATAAAACATATAATGTATGTAGACGTAAAAAATAACGCAGTAACAATAACGTTGTTCTTGTCGTTAAACTTAATGTTCGGGTCAGACGACGGCAGCGTGTAATTATAATTTTTTTTAATAGTCTGGTGTTTTAGATTAAAAATAATAATAATAATAAAAGAAAAAAAAAAAAAAAAAAAAGCGAGCATCGCGACAATAAAATCGATGGTTTTTTTACTTTCGGTACCTAATTCGAGCAGCATCGCGATGACCGCCGTTGACACCGATGTAATGATTTGTAAGTACATTACAAGGGTATTTCGATGTGTAATAATGGGTTACGTTCCATTAATATTAAATCAACCGCATTGATAATTTCGTGGTGACTCACCGTCGACGAAATTATCGTGAAACATTATTATTAACACGTTTTAGAACGGGATTTGCTCGTTGAAATCGAGAACCGCCTGCCCGTGCGCGCACTGTTTCGACTCGGAGAAATTCGACGCGTGCACACGCGTGAAGTCGCGAATTTCGAGTAAACAAATGTATTTTATCACACCGGTCATCGTGTGTCGTACCGGTGAAATTTAAAACACTTTGGTGGCGTGTCGTTAAAAAAAAAAAAAATCTACACTATGCGTGTATACATGTATACAGCCTTTTCGTCCGGTTCCTAGTCCGAATTGACGATCGGACGTGTCACTCCGTCCATTCCCGTCACTCGTCGTATACGGCGGGTGCGCTTTTAAACACTCCCGCGGACGCGTCTGACCAACACGCCTGTTCCGGCGTGGTACGCCGCGATGAAGCGGGCGTCGTAAAAAAACGCGCCTGTACGTACCCTGTTCCTCAATTAACCCGTCCTGAATCGGACGAACGCGCGCCGTTACTATAATACGCAAGAACGAGAGATTGCCATTATTATTATTATTATTATGATTATGACATTGTGAAATCCGATCGCAATAACCGTGGCCGAGTTTTACACGGAAAGGTAAAACCGATAGCGTCGCGGATTTATTCCGACTGCGGCGCGGCGTATGTGCGCCGACGAGATGATAAACCAGACGTTTTTCGTCTCGCGAACGGACGAAAATCGTTTTTCACCGAGGTTTTTTTAATTGCACGGTATTTTTTTCTGTGTCCGGCTGGAAATTCGGTGTCCATAATGGTTCCCGGCTATCTGCCCGAGCAACATTTATGGCACGACATTAACGATTCACCGTCAGCACGAGACCGTATACTATAGCGGCACGCAATTAAAAAGCTGGACACCCTCTGCCCTACGCAGTTATAGACCGTGCGTAATATTGGTTAGGCCGGGAAAGAACGGTGCACGATAGGTGATTTAGATTATAATTATGTATTGATAGCAAATCAGAAATCGATTTTTAGCGGATTGATAGCATTCGTCGTCTTTTTCGACTGTGGTCAATGCGACCCGAAAGTCAACGACAAAAAAAAACTAGAGTATCGAGATTTGCCGTCGGTATTTATCGAAGTTTTCACGAAAATAGAGAAAAATCCACTGTGCTGGTCTCGCATACACACCGATTTATACGTACACATCTTTACCCCGGTACATTTGGACACTTTTAGATACCCTATCTGGACCGAGAGACCTCAGACTTAGGAACTTGAGTTTTTTTTTTTTTTTTTTATAGGCTAGTTAAGCCATATTAAAGCGATACAATTTCGGTTGAATTTCAATATGAACTTTACCATATGTTGTTGCGGGAGAAGGATATTTTTTTTAACTTCGGACACCAGTACAGATCCCCTAAAATAAAGTTAACGAGATGCCTTTTTTTTTTATGTGTGGTGTAAGTATCAAAGATGTTTCTTTTGGAGATTTCATCTTTCAGCCCTCGTCCCAACTATTTCCATGCTCAATTTTATGTTTTTACAGAAAAAAGCGGGTTTTAATTAATATCCTTATACAGGCTCGTCGAAGTAAGTAACGATTTGAAATTTGAATTATGTATAAATAGTATTTTTGTCGAGGATGTGCCTTTGAAAGGTTTCAACTTTCAACTCCTAACTCTTACCACATCTCCACCGTCTGTTTGTCTGTTAGAAAAAATCTCGAGTACTACTTTACCTATGTTTATACATTTTTATTATTTAAAATATTGTAACAGCAACAGGATGGCCGGGAGGAATTTCGACTGTAGTAACGGTGCTCCGTTACTTTACCGTAAGCAGCACAGCTTTGACCTTCAATTTTACAGAACAATTGATGATAATTTTATAGAATAATTTTTTCAGATGAAGAACCATCATGATGAAGAAAATCCGCATCCTTAAATCCCTAAAGGTACAGTAACACAATTCACAGTTCCAACAGGAGCATATTCACATACCAAAAAATGTTTTCCAAGACGAAAAAAACATATCTTAATAATTATATATACATGGCTTAATTCATCGCACGTGAGTGAAATTGGCTCCCCTATATGTTCTCAATGTTCTCGTATTAAACCAAAAATTTTGCAATAATCGTTTCATAACTTACATCTCAATGCTCTCAATATACAATTATGTTTTTTTTATTGGGGTGCCGACTTCACGTAACCTAACCTGACCCCTCCCCCCTTCCCCCCCATAATCGTCATATCGAAACCAACCAGGTGTCAAAATTTTCCGGTAAATTTGCACTCAGAATCTAAAACTAAATTAAAAATCGTAGTTCAACAAGTTCCGCGACCTATAGTTATCAAAACAATGTCCAACAAACAATATTTTTCTTGTTCTTTTTCCTTGTCATCTTGTTATTTCTTCTCTTTCTCTTTTTTGTCATTTATTTTTTCCCTCTATTTTTTTTTTCTCTTAACCGTGACAAAAACATAGCAATTGACCTCGCGGTAATCAATAAATTATAGAAAACTTTGTTGGAACGGTCTTGTTGAAAACTGCACGGATAACATTGCGCCGCCGACCTATCGTCCAGCATTTCAATCATCGCTGTTCGTTAGTTCGTTACAAAAACGAAACATGGTAGTATAATTGATATTTTTTTCCCAACAAACTAGTAAAAACAAAAATTATATTAATACCATTGTGATTCTAGCGAAATAAATCGTCGGGACGCAATACTTGCAGGGTTGCACCGCATCGTATCCGGATTATATATCATATTTCGGACGAAATTCGCGTGCAGCTAAATTTAGCAGTATACCTACGTAGGCGTGAGCGTATTATAAAACGACACGTGACATACTTATTTTTCGATTAGTCCCGCACCGTTTTACAGCAACAAAACGTAGGTATTTTAAATCATTATTATCGCGGTGAATTTTGAAAACGTCACGCATTTTGTTAAGTTCCGTACGCCTCCACAACTCGTAGTGCTCGGACTATAAACACCGTCCTACTTACCTTTTATTCTTCTCATCTGAAAAAGCTATAATATAACGAATTGTGTACGATGCCGTACACATTTTTCCACAGACCTGTTATATTATTATTATTATGTACGAGTATAAGGCGTTGTCGTCGCGAGAATATCGCATTCTTAAACCCAGACCGAAATTGTACTGTACCTATTAATTATTGCGGTTTTATTTGCAGGTTTTGCAGAAAATATGTCAATATCGACTGTTGGCTACATAATCGTTTTGCAAACACAATGACTCCGTCGCGTCACGCGTTCCTATCGCGCGGTAGTGTTTACCATTATTGTAGGCAGGTTAGGTGCCGAACCTGTGTGTAATGCGATTGTTTAGAACGGGACAATGCGTTCGCCCACTCCTTCCTCGTCCGGTTGAAAATCATAATAAAACCGTTTATCGAAAAAACTCTCGCGCGCGTAATGAACGAATATTATTTCGAAACGACGACGTCTCCGTGTCGCCTACGGTACGCACGGTAATATCTGACCCGGGCGACACTGCGCCCGCACGATAATTATCGGGCGCCGCGTCGGCACTGGGCCGCGGCGCCGCGACCGCATGAAGAGGATATAATGATGATAATGTCGTTTTCGCGGTAGACGGGCCGAGCGGGCGCGAAATCCCGGAATGAAAACCGAAAAGCCGCCGCGTGGCGGACTGCGGTAAATCGCGACCGCGGCTGGCCCGGCGGTTACCGGGACCGGTAACGCGGCCGCTGATAACACGGCGTCGTTATCATCGGGTGCGGACGCGGTTATCAGGGCGACGAAATTTTTATCGATTCGAGTCCGCGGCCGCAGCAGCTGCTGGAGGGAGACGGGAGTGACACACCGCCGCTCGTTCCCCGCCGAGCCGCCGACGCCGCCTGGCGAGCGTACGACGATCGATCGTCGGGCCGCCGCTACGTGCGTGCGTGCGTGCACCAGCGTGTGTGCGTGCGTGTGCCGTCCGCGAGCCCGCGCGCGTTTGTCTGTGTGCGTGCGACCGCCCGTCCGGCAATATTACGACACTGCGTCGCCCGTCCTCGTCGTTATTATCACCGCAGCCGTTGTTTATAATATTATCGCTGTTAGTACTATGGCCGCCGGCCGTCCCGCGGTACCGTCGTCGCGGCCGAGACAGTACGTCGTCGTCGTATTCGCCGGGACACGCAGTCCGCCGACCGACCGGAGAGCCGCCGGACAGCAGCAGCCGCGGACGTGAACTACCTGTCACCGACCGTCGCCGCGTTTTTATATACGTTCGGGCGGTGTCGCGCGAAACCCGCCGCGAGGCCCGGGCACCGATCCGCCATGGGCAAGGACCACGACCTGGTGGCGGCCGCCAAGACGGGCAACCTGAACGCCGTCGAGAAGATACTCGTCCAGAAGGCCAAGAGGACGGGGCCGTTGGCCAGGTGAGAAAACCCGCGCGTACGCATTGCCGTCCCTCCGGGGGCGCGGTGATTTCGGTTTGGCCACTCCGCGCCGTGTGTGACGCCGCGGCACACCAGCAGCGGGGTGTCGCCCTTTCGCCGCGAGCCGTTCCCGGGTTCGCGCGCCGCGGGACAGGTGCGAATAATACGCGGCGTGTGCAGCGGGTGCCCCGCGTAATCCCGTCGGATTTTCGTCTCCGTCTTCACGGGGGCATTATTGCGATTGTATCGCGCGCGGCCCGTGGGTTCTCGAATCGGACCGCGACGGACGAAACGGTCGGGGCGTCAATCGCAATCTCCGCGCGGTCGTCCCCGCATCGACGGTTTTTCGGGTCGACTATTTTAACGGGCCCGCATTACGAGGGACAGGGGGACGGGCACGTCGTTATCGTTACGAGTCGTCGAAGCAAATATTTGGCGATTTTTTTTTTTTCTTTTTCTCTGCCCGTCCGTTCCGTTTTAATAGGACAGAGTCCTATCCAACGCGAATACGGGCCCCCGCAACCCTTAGAGTTAACAGTGTCGCACGGCCCACGGCGCGGCGACGTGCTGCTGCTGTTGTTGTTGTTGTTGTTGTTGTTGTTGTTGTTTATCCGCGGTGAATAATTATTCGCAGAACGCGCAACTACGCCGCGTGAGTCACGCGCCCGACCGCGGTTACCTTATTAATACCCGGTAGCGTACCGTTAGAATGTCGCGTTCGCTCACGTCCGTCCGAGCAGCGGGGAACACGTATTTGTTGTTTTTTTTTTTTTTTCGCATCCGTCTGGAAAACGCGGCGGGCACTCGACGGATCCGTCGACCCGCAGACGGCCGGGAAACAAATCGACTCCTATAGGCGCAGGCGGTACAGGAGGGCATGCGGATCGATACACCCGTGCGGCTCCGTAATCCGATTTTCGCCTGTCCCCCCCCCTCCGCCGCCGCGATTTTTTTCGTTTTCCGACGGAAACCAAAGCGTCGCAGGTGTACGATATTTCGGGTTTTTCATTTTTCATTTTTTCTGACCTATTTTCGCGGGCCCCGTCCCTCGAAGGTCGTCGTAAACGATTTCTATTGTCCCTTTCGACCCCCCGCTCCGCGTGTCTGCGCCCCTTTATGCGTTCACGCCGCCGCCGCCGCCGCCCTCCCGCGCCCGTACCACCCGCGACCGCCGCCGCCGCGGGGTCGTATTTTTATTTTTTTTCTGTTGTTTTTTTTCGCGTTCGAAATTCCCGTACGCCGACCCGCGCGTAATACCGACGGACCTAAACAATACCTCGGTAGCTAATACCGGATTCCGGCCGTTCGTTTACCGCGACTCGCGACCGGTCGTCCCCGAATCCGATAATATTAACGTTCTCGTACTCGTTTTCGTACCCACCGAGTCCGACCACCGCCCGGTAACGGGTTTTTCGCGTCGCCGTCGCGCTCGCGACGTATGGAAATGTTTTTTTAGAAAAAAAAAAAAAAAAAAGTCCACTTCTAACCACCCGCACAGTAACGCAGCAACTGCGGTCGTCCGTCAAAACTGTTGAAACGTTTCGACGGTCATTGTTTTGACTGTGCAAAATTAGTCCGTCAAAACAATGACGTGTACTTGCCCGGAAACGGCGATTTCGTCGAACGCCGCGCAGTCCGGGCGTTTAGAAGCGTTTCCGTTCCGACGTGCGTGTCTCCCGTCCGTGCGTCCGCACATATCGCGACGCGACAAGAACTCTGACCGACACCGACAGATTTGTCGCGGACATCCGTTCGAGATCGGTTTTCCCCGCGTCGGTTTTAAAAGTGTTTCGTGTGTCTGTGCGCCGTTTTCCCGCCGGGACGCTGGCTGCGTGCAACGACTTAATGGACGTTTTCTTGTAGCTTCTTGTAAATCCGGGAAAACGAGGGGGAAAATACGACCGATGATGTTACGCTCTGCGCGGCGTGGTTTTCCATTAGCGCCGGTGTACAAACGAAAGCGTACGCTGTAACGTGTTTCGCGACACGGCATCCCGGCCGGTCCAACTCCCTCGCCGAAACAGTGGCGTGTGCCCGTCAGCAGTGTTAGTTCGTTTTTCTAGGGGTTCGCGATTGACGGCGGGACGACACAAACGAATTGACGTGCCGAGTGCGCGCGTTCGCGGTATCTGTAGTACGGACCGCCGGACGACCGCAAAGCCGAAATGCGTTTCCACAGCAATTATCGTTGCCGCGATTTTCGCCGCGAAAACGCGCCGCGTTGCGACACCTGTACCGCGCGCAAACGACGGCCGCGGCCGACCGCGCCGCGCGGCCCGTACATCGGATCGCACGATCGATATTTGACCTCGGCCGTTGACCGATTCGTAAAAACAACACGCATTTAACGGCGTCTCCCCGCAACTGGAAACATTAGAGTTTCGCTCTCGTCGTTGATATCCCGCGTCTACGCTGCGACGGCGACGAATCCGGGACGGTGGGTGGGGAGACGGGCGCGATCGCCTTTCAGCCACCGCCGCCGCCGCCGTCACCCCCCCCTCGCCCCCCCGCCGCGCTTCGATCCCGTTCGCTATAGCCGGCGTCACACGCTCTTGGCCCTAATGCCGTACACTTGTTAGGCCCGTCGTCGCCAACGTAAACGCCGGTGTTTAAACGGAGTTTATGAGGATAATCGACCGACCGCGGATTATTGAAAACGATTTCGTTTTCACTATCGGTTTGAGAATCGGACGAACGCGTATTTGTTTATTTTTTTCATTTTTTCCGAAATAGAATCGTGAATAAAATTAGCCGTCCGAGGATAATGGGGACGGGCGCAGCCGCTGCAGTTGCGCATGGGTAATTGGGAAGGTAGGATATAGACGGGAATTCAATGTATACCTGTGTGTAACGATTGACCGTTGCTGACGACCAAACGATTCTGAGCGGAGTTCGGTCGTGATGGTGTTGCTTCGTCAACAATATAATATAATATGCCATTATGGTAAAATAATTACGATGCACTGTGTGTGTTTTTAAACGTTGTACCCGTTTTCCTGTTCTCGTGTTTTTCCAATTTATCGGGTAAATCAAAAAGTAACCTCCGCAAAGCATACCTCCGCAGTCAGATTTCCTTTCAGAAAAATTGCTATCGTTATAAATCGGAGCGAAATTGCTGGTAAAAAAGTTGTCCACAAAAGAGAAAAAAAATTTAAAAAATCAACGTCATTGTAACAACAATACATTCCTCGATCCATTCCAGGCTCCGCGGCGTTTAGAGGGGGGGGCATAGGGGCCTTGGCCCCCATTAAACGTCAAACTACCGTGCCTATAAATAATAGTTTCTCACGCGGAGGTCTGTTTAGAAGTTCAGAGTGTTAATAAATATTATAATCACGGCTTCTGTTCGGACAGTTGTGCTATCACATCAGTAGTTAAAAGTACAGTTTTCGTACCGAAAGGACATTGACCCCTTTCCCCTCCCCCAGAAGACGAATCGAATCCGCCACCGCTCCGCTCAGAATCTAAAATAATCATGAAATTAACGCAGACGGATATCGCAATTGGCGCGTAACGCGATATGAATGTCCGGGCGTATGGAAACACGAAAATAATATTAAAAAAAAATATTGGCACCGGTTCCAGCACACCGGTCTTATTATAATAATATTACTATTGCGGTCCGGACGTTAAAAGCCACCGGCGGACGGCTCGTGGGGACTATAAATACCTAATGTACAATACGGTTTCAAAACCGAATTCGAATATTCGATATTCGACCGTGCGCAAACAACACTCGTACACGCGCGTCGTACACAATTATACCCGTCCGATAGAAAATTATTCGTGTAACGGATGGAACGGCGGCTACTGCGTTCGCGTCCGAATGTAATGCGATGACCCGCAGTCGATAACGCGCCGAGTGCCGCGAAATTCAGTGGAACCCAGAACGGCGTGTTACGAGCCCGTTCGTAATTATTATTATTCCAACGACAGTGGTCATTGGATCCTCTGGTGGAAACCGAACCGTTTCAGCGATTTCGACGGAGGACACACAGTCTAACGTCCGGGGCGTAGCGGATATTCGCTTATTGTGCGTTTACCGCTACGCAAAATCAATGGTCGGCGTACGATTTGGTTGGGTTGGGTAGGTTTTGTATCCGAATGTCGTGTAGACAGGTATTGTGGCACGGTAACCGGTAAAGTCCAAGAGCTCGACGGAAAACTCGGTCTGTCCGCTCGTGGACCTATAAAGTAACAGTATACGCGGCGGATTTAAAATAATATGCCGCGATTTTCGATAAATCCGTCAAAAAACATTCGCGACCCAGTGACCGAGTTTGAATTACTACGGGTAGTCGTGCCGGGATCACCGCGAAATCTGCGGCGCGAGTGATTATTGTCGCTCCTTTCGCCGGTGCGGAGCGCCGCGCTCACGAAGTGCAATACGAACAGACGGGAAGTCGGGCAAGTAGGAGTTATTCAAAGTCATTAAATCTATACATCTGTAATTAACGATTTTTAACTAATTGCTTGCTAACGAAACTCAATTCGCTGAACGAACACGCGCGTTTCGAAAACAACTTTTACGATTTTCTCCGTAATTCAATCTTAAAACTCTTGTAAAGAAGAAAAAACCACTACACTGCGCAAATTATTATTATTATAATTATTTTCTTACCGCTTTACGTGTAAAACATTCTGTTCTGGGTTTCACGTTTAATTGTCGAGCATTTCTTTTCGGTCAAACTTTATTCGAATAATACCTACCGAACGACGACATAAAAAATACGTCCTTGGGTAATGGGGACGGGTGCTGCCACTGTTATAGGTAATTTAATGTGTACCTGTAAGCAACGGTAAACCATTGGTTACGAAAAGAACGATTCTGAGCGGAGTTCAGTTTATATTGATGCTTTGTCAACAATATATATATGCTATGTCATAGTAAAATAATTAAATAGACTCTATATATTTTCTTTATTAATATTTGTTTAATGTTGTACCGATTTCCCCGGTTTTCCCGTGTTGTTTTCCCGGTTTTTCACATTTGATGAGAAAACTCTCGAGAAAACCGAAAATCGATCTTTCTAAAGTACCTCCCTACACCGATTTCCTTTCGGAGAAGCTGCTACACGTAAACATCGGAGCAAATCCTCTGGTAGAAAAGTTGTCCACAGAAAAAAAAAAAACATAAATAAACATTTTTGTAAAACCATAAGCTTCTTCGCTCCACTTAGAATCTAAAAATAAAAAAAAAAATCGAAAGTATAAATGTCTATAAATAACTCGAAAATCGCTTGATTGTTTTGAAAATTTTACTACTTCCAGAAAAGGCTGATATGAGTGTTTTGAATCTAAAACGTCCCCGTCACCGATACGGATTTAAAACACACGAGTGTAAACAAATTCCGAAGGATAAAAACGGCCGCTCGACGATTAATTAATTACGACTCCTCTAAGTGTGATGCCTATATATAAAACGCATGCAGGACGGGCTCTGTAATTCTCCGGCGTTTGACGTTTTTTTTTTTTTTTTTTTTTCGAGTGTCAGCTAACGATCATTAATCTCCATTATGGTCGCCCCATACTCGCGTAAAAGAGGTCGGCGCGCCCCCAGATGATGACTTGTAGTAATAATAAGGTTCGCTCGTAAAACGATACTATACTTTACGACATCGAAAATATTTCGACAACGACGACACGATATTGTTGTATACACGACGCGGTGACTGTATATTATAGTTTTGTTTTTTTTTTTTTTTAAATGTTCCCAACAAACAAAATTCTCTTAACAGGAAGTCGCCACGCCCGCATCTATACTTACTGTCTCGGGCTGTACCTTTGCGAAATTGTACGTATTATTTTTCGAGTAAATGTTGACGTTTAGGTTGAAATTAGAATTCAAACGTGAATAACAAAATTCAAAGAATAGTATATTTTTGTCGGCTGGGCTTTTGAGTTAAAAAATTGTTTACACTACGTACGGCCCTAGAAAATATTCCACCTCTTTTAATTTTGTTATTTGCATTTAAACATTTGGTTTCAACATAAATGTCACGTTTTATAAGTAACATAATTTTGTTATGTGGCCCGTTAGTTACACCGGGACAGTATTTATGGATAGTGTCGATATTCGTAATCGTGATATTTACTATAACGCGAACCTAAGTCGTACAAACAGGGCGGTAATAATTATGCATCGAACTGTCTCGAAAGCAACTATTACATTGTCACTCGTGCATGATCGCCCATGGTTACTGCCGTGATAATTACAGTGCGGAATCACCGTATTAAATATGAAATTGGATTTTTTTCGGATCCGACTTAATCAATTCGAATTGTTGAGTCAGGTATCCCGAGTGGAACGTAAGAAAGACTCTACGATTTATTCACGAATCTTGATTATTATTTACTACGTCTTCTGTCATTGCGGAGATCGGTATAATATCTCATAGATCATTTTTTTTTTTTCCTGAACTATAAGCATTACTATTAAAATATACATGATATAAGTACACATATATAACTTATTTGTTATCAGTTTATATTTTTATCAATTAAAGCGTTATAAATAAATCATAATAGCGCGTTAAACGAGAGATCGATTTTAACTATCGTGATTTATATTATTTTATGTGAACCGATAAAAAAATACTTTTTTTTTCGGTCGATCAAAATATTATTATTTTTTTTTTTGTAGATAGTATAATATATTATTACGTCTTTAAAGTTTGTTTTGCAACGATGTGGGCTTCTGAACACGATGAAAAATACGAATCGTTTTTACGAAAATTATTTTAATGGGATACTTCTATTGTGTGAAGCACGGGATATTTCGAGAGGGAACAATTTATTATTATTTTCACTTGTGGTTTTATCAACAGTGCACAAGAAGCGTTTCGTATAATATTAATATTATATACGGGTGCCTATATATTCGATGCGACGTTTAATAATTTTAATTACCCGCGTTATTATTGTTGCGATCAATCTCAAAATATTAATTTAATAACGTCGCTCGCTGCAGCTGCTGCTGTGTTGCTGCTGACATACTAAAAAAAAAACAACATTGTAAACTAATAGTGTTTGTATTGTATTGTATTTATTATGATGGTCCGATAGAGAAGGAGGGGCAGAAAACGAACAACATTTCTCTACCTAATCATTTTATAATAAACTAGCTGTTCCGCCCGGCATGCCAATTTTTTATTATTTTTTTTTTTACCCATTGATATTCCGTTGGTATTCACCTTATCAGTTATGAACTAAAACAAATAGGTGGAAAGTTGGTAGTCCACCTTTGGCGGAATAAAAGTGTTCTCTAATGACGTTCTTTTCATGATTTTCATACGAAAAATATCGAAACCTCGAATTTTGGTTTTTTTTTTTGGGGGGGGGGGGAATTGGTGGATCCTTGCTAATTTTTTTCTTTTATTTTACCGGTAATACACCCGCCACACTTGAGCGTGAGCAAATGCTTAAGGTGACGAGTCGCCATAATTTATTTGACAACAATTAACAACAATTTGTAAAATTTAACATACAATATTAAATAAATAATAAAAGAAAAACAACAAAACTCAAACTTTATATTCGTCATTGGCTTTAGAAGGACCCTTTCTCGAGGCAGCCCGCCGCTCTGGAAACCTCGTTTAGATTGAACAGCTACATAATTGCTGCTAGCACGCCAGTGGCGATAGGTTACACGGTATCCACCGCCACCTTAGCTAACCTAACCCAGCTTAACCCACCCGCACATCATAGGGATTGCACTGTTATAACAGTTTTTTTTTTTCATCTGTTTTACCAAGATAAATGATTCAACAGAATTAATTAAATTCCGTATTAAAAATGTCTAAAAACCGGGGATTATAGGAAACAGTATTAAAAATGGGATGGATTTCGATAGCTATATACCTTTTACGGACAACGCAGAACACTTTGCTGCTATTTATAATTGATGCTACACGGAAAACGTACAAACTGCCGCTAATAATATGAAATTCACACATTCAGTGAAACGACGCGCGCGCCATCTATCGGAAAATAGTTTTACTAACTCAGAAACTTTCGCAGGCTCGCGTTCAACCATTTCCCAAAGTTTCATCGCAATCGGATGAACAGTTTAGGAAGACATAAGAGACATACAGACAGACATTAATTTGTGTATATAGTATATCGATAATATTATTCTATTACACACTGGATGGTTACTCGGTTATCAAGCACAACTCCGCGATAAAAAGATACGCAATACCTGCGGAGTTACTCGCAATATTTCGTGTCGCTTTTGTTTTGTTTTGTTTTTAAGACACATTTTTTACCTATGGTATTATGACGCGAGACTTTTCTAATGCTTAGTCGGAAATAAGTACTAACAAAATCAGCTTGAGTGGGCATAAGTAACGGTTTGTAAAGTGTCAAAAAACTCGACATTATTGGTGGTGGAAACTAGCATTGGATACAAAGAGATGGGAAAAAGTGTGCAGCATACGGCCTCCGGCGCTAAAAAAAATAACAGCTAAAAAATCAGCTGTTTTAGGGTTTTAGAAAAAATAAAATAAATATCTATTTATTTTAAGACATTATAGCAATGAGCCATTACATTTCCGCCGTTAAAAGCAAATCTCCTATAATTAAATACGATGGATACAATCTGTACTTAATGGAATTAAATAATGAAACCATTATCGGAAGATTGAGAGTCGAAATAAGATTATAAGAAACGTTGCGTATGCGGAGAAAAGTAAAGATTTCCACTACTATAAGCATAATTCAGTGGTAATTGCCGTATTCGCCTTTTTAACAGACTTAGTCGATAACCAATGGAAAACAAACAAATAATTGTTAAAAAAAAAAATAAAAAATAATGTGGCTATAGTTTTTTTGTAATACAAGTTTTTAGAAAAAAGCTATTTACAGTCCTCGAAAATATTTTCTTCATTAAATTTGTATTATTTGTGTTCAACTTAAACGGCACAATTTATGGTCTGTGTAACGGAATTTTTCCGTGCGTTAATATGAAATGGAGAAAACTCGCATGCGTGTACGACATCCTCTCGTATTTAAATTTTTCGTTTCTTTCTATTTAAAAAAAAAAAAAAAAAAAACATTAGGGGATTGCAGTTATTCAAAATAAAAATGTACGCTTGTTTAGACCGAAAGCTAGACAACAATGTAGGACTTGGATTTGATTGATGTTCATTTTGAAAGAGAATTTGGATTAACAATTAAGTTTATATGGTTTGGACGGAGATGATTTTAAATATTTTGGAAACTTTTTGTATAGTAAAGCCTCATTAATCTGGACCCCATTATTCTGGACTTAGCTTAATCTGGATATCCGTTTAATAATATTTATTATTAGTATAAAACGCATTTATATGTACAAACAAACGGACATACTTCGCACGATGGGTGAGCTACTATCCATTCAGAAAGTATTAACTTTTTCCGGAATTTTTTTCTAGAACACATTTAAGAAACAAGCTGCTCAACAAATTTATATGTATGATATTTTTTATCACTCTTATTTTTGGGAGTAAAACCACTACCTACTTTTGATTATAAAATGACAACCTATATTAAAAATGCCATAAACAGGTGGAGTATTAGTTAAAATAAATTTTAGTGCTGACATTTTTGATTTCCGTCGTCTCCTTAACGAGATATTACACTTTTAAGTTTGGGTTGGAGGAGAGTAGTGAAATATTTTTGTGTGGCGGTAGAGCGCGCGGCGTGTTAACTTTAAGCTATAAACCTTGGAGTGTACCCACTTAAATGGATCACCTGATACATTTGAAATACTTTTTTTTAATTTGACTTTATAGTTAATTCAAATAGGTTTGCAAAATTAATTTGGAAATTACTAATTTAAAACTCAATATTAAATTATTTAAGTGCCTATATTATTAAAGCTTGGTATCATCTATATCATTTTAATACTGAAAAGTTAAAATAAATAAAATGCGCTGCATATATTACTTCTGGAATAATTTAATACTTTTAATTTACTAAACGAATTTTAATGAAATAGTAATTATACATTTATCATGCTAAATCGTTCCCGAAATATTGTATAGCACTTAATTAAAGTGACTTAAACAACATGGGTTTCTCAGAGTGTTAATACGAAAACGTTTGTTGGAAGCCTCTCATGGTAGTTTAATTTCTCTCTCAACACTGTCAGTTTACGTTTGCGCGACTTTGTTCTCCTCAGGACGACATCCCAAGATTCCATAATTAATATTCAATACTTCTAGTAGAAAACATAATTTTAGTAGTTAACATAATAAAGAATACAGCGAAAACGAAAAACAATGTATACAAAATATGCAAAATGCATTATTGTATTATTTAAAAACAATCTAAATCGAAGATTTTTCGTGTCAGATTTCGAATAGCTTATCCTAACAAATATGGGCATTTATATATAAATCCGTTCTCTAATTATTAATGTTTTATACGCAGGTATTCAAAAAATTAAAGAGGAAATTATTTTCAATAATTGTTCGTGAACAAAAGGTTATACTAATATAAATTGCTTGTACATTAACTTTTGTCCTGTAATCTGGTCACACTGATTTGAGGTACATTCGATTTGTTTACATTTTAGATTTAGAGCAATCATTTGTTTAATCTCAGAGTGCAGGAGCGTTTAAATGCTGGGATGAACCGCTGAACCGCTCATAGTGCGCATAATACTCATTGCGCGTGTCGTGCGCGTAACGTAGATAACATGTTGATTATCATCGGAAAACTAACATTTTGAATACATATTTTTATCATATTCAAAACTTACTGCTCTTACTCTAAATTAACTTCTACCCAAAATAGGTGTTAAGCCACCTTTATTTATCTGTTATTTCATTTAAGGGGATTGATAAAACACATTTTATCTAATACGCGCAGCACATCGGAATTTAGAAATGTTTGTATTTTAACATATTATAACTGATTGACGCAAGTTTATGTAAACAAAATATTACAAATAATTTCTGGATATTCACTGATGATATTATACTAACTTCTGATCAGTGTTAATTAGCGTATAATTTTGTTTTTTTTTTTTTTTTTTTTAATTCACGATCTATTTCTTTTTTAAAATGTATTTTTTCTTGGGATATTTGTAATAAAACATTTTCAATAAAATACTCATTAGAGAGACATAAAAAAAAAATGTCCACAAGACAGAAAATATTACTCTTGGAAAAACATATTTTTTAAAACGTAATAATTGCATTGATCTTAATTATTTTGAAAAAAAAAAACTATTGATTAATCATTTTAATTTTAGCATGACATATCAACAAGGAAATTTTACAGTTTAATAATATTAAAGGTTTGTTTGTTAAACTAATCTGTTTGCACTACAATAATAAATGTTTAAATCACTTATTTTTTTTTTTATTTCTATTAACAATATTTATTCAAAATTTTAGTTTTATTCTGGTAATCAACATGTTATCTACGTTACGTGCACGAATAGACAATGGACAGTGCGCGTGCGTACCATGAGCGATACATACCTGTATTTAAACGCTCTACAGAGTGCATCATCTGGTTTTATATAACCTGTAGTATTAATATAAAATAACCCAGAAATGCATGTAATCACTATTATAAATACCGGTTCTTACTTTGTCCATTTCCTCAGTCCCCCAATTTTTAAATTTGACATTTTTTTCGGCCTAATCGTTAATATCCCGTTAGTATTGGTTAGTAGAACAAAAACCATCGTTAGTGGATAAATGGTTTTTGTTTTTGTTTTTTTTCATTAAAAAATTCACTGGGTAGGGGAATTGGAGAAATAGCCATAATCGTCAATTTGCAGTTTTTTTCTATGGCCACGATAAAAAAAGTTTAGCCATCACTAAGTTAGACATTAAATAATTATTAAAATGTTTTCCTTTCGATAAAGAAACATGTCTTTGTAAAACAAATAGCTTTACTCTAAAATAAAATAAAAAATGGTATATTGGATGTTCCAACGTTGTTTAAAACGTTGCGTCAATAATTTATGCATGGTTACTCAGTGTAGTAGTACCTACTATTCAGTCGGTTTTGACACCTAATTCTTGTTTGTGTTCTTGATTGGCGCTACATACTTAGCAACTTGTAGTTATTTGATTTCCGCTGTATGCGGATCAGTTAGTTTAATCTGTTATAGAATTCTTCGTAAAAAAAAAAAATCTTTATTGCCTATACAGTGATTTATATCGTTTATTGGATACATTAAATGCGATGGCGATTTTTATTATCCTACGATGTTGTATAAAATCCGTATCGTAATAGTAGATTTTGGTAATTTTTCCAGCCCTCCATTGAATTTTTGTGAAATTTTTTTAAAAAAATGTGCGTGTTATTTTATCCCACTTGATTTACTTCAAGATTTTACGCACGGTTTAGCGCGCGTGCGTGATAACGTTTACTCGAACTGCTTCATGACAGTTGACTAATGAGGGATACCATTAGTCTCAATCAGTCTGTCGGCTAATACGCACTTCATATGTGATTACGTTTCTGAGTGTTTCGTGTTAAAAAGGTGTACATTGTATTGTAATTTTTAAAAAGCGTTATTATTATTATAATAAGAGTTAAATATTATTAATTTATATTTTGATCTACAGAAACAAACAGTGATGTCGCTAAGTACACCTAATCCACCTAATTTAGTTAAAAGGCGTAGGCCTGTATCTCTTTCTCTTATCGATAAACTACGCGTAGTAGTACAACTCGAAAAGGGGACGGCTGTGTCGAGCATTTGTGCGCAATATGGGATTTCCAAATCTACTGTTTCGAATATTAAAAAGAAAAAGGACGATTTAAAAAATTATGCTCTGAAATTGGATGTAAAAAAGAAATCAATGCAAACCCTAAGCCCTAAGCCAAAATGTAGTGAAATTAAAGACCATCTAGATATTATCATTCAATTCGTTGAAGATAACGACGATAAAAACATAACTGCACATTGCGAAAATTTGAAGCAACTGCGTGAAAAGATTAATAGAAAAATTAATGTCAGTCTAACACAAACAAAGATCAGCAGTTTCTTCAAATCAGAAAGTGAGTCAAGTGTGGTCAATGAAACTGTACCCAGATTTCCACGTTTTAATTCTGTACTGCTATAGTTATTCTGTATATTGTAGGGCCTAATAATGTATTGAAATATACCTTTTAAATAAACATTTTATTTCTTAAATTTAAAATACACGTGCGTTTTATTGAACAGATTGTTTAAATTGTTTAACCTTGGCACATTGCACAAGTTATTTTGTTTAATCCGGGCTTTCATTTATTCGGTTATCCTAGAGCGGTTCAACCTTTTGTAGTTGGCGGGCTGGTTTACACTTTCGTAAAAACACCGGGGCCCGCTTAAAGAAAAAAAATGATATTATTATTTGTAATTTATTTTATTACAAACATATTATACAATGCAAAAATTATTACATCGCAGATTAACCGACTTAATATTCTATCATAATTAGTTCGATTTTTGTTTTTAATACAAGTCATCTAGGGGAGGGGGACAAAAAAACGGCTTCGCGGGTCGCAGGTTTGATCACCCTGGGTTAACCTAATCAATCCGGATTAATGTTCGATTATTTCTACAGTATTATAATGAAAAATATGAAAAACAAAAAAAAAAAATACAAATAGGTATGTAAATAATATTTATCGTCGTCACAGCAGAAAGTGTAAATATTTCAAATCCCCACCGCCATAACCCAGTAACGCTGTTAACCAATCAAAATCCGTTTTCAAAATGAAAATATATCAAATCGAATTCCTACACGTTTTTGTTTGCACATTCGTTGGTTAAAACGGACCGTACCGCGCCTATTTCCCTAAAATAGTGATAACGGACAGTAGACCAGCGGAAAAGTCTTACCATTAACATAGGTGGTCAGGTATGGTTCACACAAATCGAAGACATATTTGAAAACCGACGCCAAAGTCTTTGATTCATCTATGTAGGTAATTTTATTCCCACGCGGCATTTGGGAAACGATAATATTTTGAAACGGTTAAATAATAAATATGTTAATAATAATATTGTATAAATATGTTATTCTTACGATACCGAAATATTTTGTTACATTATTAATATGAAAATGTTTTCTAAATATTTGTACAATGTTTCCAAGAAAATTATAAGAAATTGAACGTTTTAAAAAGTACGAGATGAAAATGTTTTCCAGACATGAACTATTCGGGCAAAAATTATTTCGATAATATACAATACACACCATTGTTTTACAATAATCGAACACAAGTTCCCGATAGTGTTTTGTTTACGTTTTAGAAATATTTTTTTGGTACGCGGATTATTGCGCGTTACGTAATATCTGGATTTCAAATATAATTCTGTCGCACGGGCCGTGCTTGAAATTTTGTCCGTTTATAAAAATGTACATTATCAACGGTTGAATTACAGGGGCCTGTTTGTCGTCGTGTGAAAACGTATGTATTGCTGTAATGTCGCCGTCACCTCTGCCGCCGGCACAGCGGGACTATTCTGGTCCGTTGTTAACCAGTATTCCGATAGTGACATCGGACGCAAAATATAATTACTGAGCAACGCTCGAAAATTCAACGCGCGTCGAAACCACCGATTAATCGACCGTTCATCAGCCTATCGTCATTATGTTATGAACATTCAACGCTAAATTTCGGTCGACAGTACAACGAATAGCTTGGTTGTAACCCGGGCGTTTTTAATGTTATTTATTTCACCGTCGGCGACACGTGTATTGTAACAACGTTCCGTAGGTCGAATGTCCCTTGTCGAAAATCAAAACTGTAAACTTACCACGAACCGCGTCGGCCGTGTTGAGAACTACGACACAACGCCGCTCGCGTTGATAAACAAATTAGTCATCGCGGTTTCGGTTCGCGTTGTGCACCAACACGGCTGTTAATTACCTTTACAACGCGGCTATTATTATTATTATTGTAATCGTACCGTAGACGCGTAAACTCATTACTACGCCGTTATCTATAAGAGGACTGGCAGTGTAATCGCTTTGTTAACAAAACGTTAATTATTTTTATCGGTAGATATGATACGACAATTTATTATCGAATTTGTTTTTTTCCCGCCGCCGCCGCCGCCGTGCGTCGTACGGCTGTTTTATGCTACTGAAGTTGTTTACCGCCGAACGCGGTACGTGTTTGGACGGAATCGGTAGTTCTATAGTATTTGTTGTTACATTTAAAGCGACCGCCTCTGGATCGGCAAGGTCCGGTTAAATTCAATCCGAACGCACGGCGTAGGCAACCCAACCGTTTCGAGCCGTTTTCGACCCTCCCCTCCACACCCTTACTATTAAAATTAGCCGACGCCAAATTACGTAGGTATTTAGACGACCGAACGAATCTCGTATACTAAGTGTTGGTCGGAATAAAATTACGAAATTGGAACGTGGGGCTACTGGGGAAATGTCTGGATGCGAAAATTTGGACCCTAAACGAAGGTCATAAGCGCGGCTCGGAGTTTATAGCACTCAACTAACCTAACCTAACTAAAATATGCGCTAAAAAAAATCTTAAAATAACCCAAAGTATAAGCAACGATATAACCCGTTTCTTACAAGAAAAAAAAAACGATTCTGAGCGGAGTTTATTTGATAACGATGATCTGTCAACAATATATGTCAGATTAATGTAAAATAATTAATAGGCTTTATATATATATTCTTTTTAATAATATTTGTTTAATGTTGTATCGATCTTCCTGGTTTTCCAACGTTCTTCCCCGGTTTTTCCATGCTTTTCCCGTTTTTTCTCTGTTTTTTTTTTCGGTTTTTCGCATTTGATGAGAAAACTCTTAAGAAAATCGAAAAATGACTTTCTTAAAGTAACTGCCCGCATCGATCACTGTCAAAATCTACATTAAACGGATCTAGTGTGCTCGCTCATAATTTATCTACCATTTATACGTATCTATTCTATTTTATGAGTCATAATATAAAACACAATAATCTCGAAATACATTGCACCGACGATTTGTTGACATTTTTGTATTGTTTCTTATCTCATGCAAACATTTTGTCGTACTTTAGAATATTATTATAGTATGCGTAATAGAAATAAATATTTGATTTTCCGACAACTCAATTATAATGTTGTTATTATTTACAATACATACATTCCATACATTTATCGGTGTTTTTTTGTTATTATTATTATTATTATTATTTATTGTTGTTACAACACAGCAGTTGAATAATAGTTTTTAAAATTATAATTCATTAATTAATCACCGTATATTAATCGGAAATATGTTCATTTGCACAAGCTGTTTATAAAACAAATGTTTTTGAGAAATATTATAAGATATTTATCGGTACCCATACCAACATATATAACTACTTACATGCATACTTATTTACTTGTACTTATTAAACTAATTGCAGACACACACAATTTTATCCTATTTTGTGTGCCTTTAAAAAAAAAAAAAAAAAAAAATGCATGTAATTTTTGTTGTTACAGCAAATATGAACAAAAATAATGTTACAATGAATAGAATTTTATCCGAAAACAGTTTATTTTCATATTAAACTGTATGCTGTTTTTTTTTTTTTGTTAATTTAGTTTGCGAAGAGGCGCTGGCATTAATACTCAAGATCAGGCTGGCTTTACCGCGTTGCATCACGCTTCGTTAAACGGGTTCAAGTAAGTAACTATATTATTATAAACTTATTCATAGTTTGTGTGATAAACTAAATAAATCACAAATAATATTATTATAAACTTTTTGTGTGTGTGTGTGTGTGTGTGTACCGCTCGGATACACACAATACGTTTTCCATACAGCCTGGTACGCTATTTAAAATCAAATTAAGAAAAGCAAAATAACAATATAACGAGAATTAAACCAAGACCGAACACATTAACGAGTTAAAAGTCATAGCGTATTAATTTTAATGAATAATGAGTTAATCTTTAACTATACCACGCTAAGTTGATTCCAATTTCTTTAAATTTCAACGCAATATTAAAGCTACAGCCTACAAATTATTATTTTAATTATTTAAATAGTACATTTTTTTGTTTGTTTTTTTTTTTTTTTTTACTCGACACTGTGCTTGAAGTTATTAGTATATACGTTTTCCATAAATCCTGTTGTGTTTAATCCTTCGCTGATAAAACCCCCCTTGTGTTTAACACATTATTCCTTATTATCAAGACGATCACAAACTCTAGGTTTAAGCGTTTTCATTTCGAAAATAACAATTATTCAAACAACGCATCATAATTAACTTGAGTGAATGAGTTAATTACATTTTCATATTAGTTTTGTATTATTAAACTTTTACAGTTACCGAATAAAACAATTACAAACTTTTAACGTGTTAACATTTGCATCATTTTCAATTCAACACATTATAATATTCTCACGTGTACGTATGTTATTCATCGAATTGCTGAAACCCATTTTTTTTTAAAAAAACCCTCCCTACCGCCGATTCGAATGTTTAAAAATCTCGTCCGTGTAATACGTAAGTGGTGTCGTTATGTTATCAGGGAAATCGTTCAACTTCTCCTGTGCAACGAAGCGTCGACGAACATTGTCGACCAAAAAGGTGCCGCCGCGCTTCATTATGCTGCGTGGAGGGGCAACGTAGACATTGTCCGGCTGTTGCTCTGCCACGGGCCGTCGATACCCAACGTCAATCAGACGGTAATCTATAATATTATTATGGTTAATAATTAGAGGTCGGAATTTGGGTGTTTCGCATATATGTATTTTCTTACGACTCCGATGCGATCGTAGTAAAATATCTATTTACAATTCACGGAACGCTAAATTCGGGGTTTGGAAGGGGTGGGGAGGTTATTGCGTGAATTACATTTCTTTATTTAAGATACAAAAAATAAATTTAGCAGTGTATACGTTGTGACGTAATTGCGAATATACTGCTTAAAAAGTAAAAATCCGAAATTGTGTTGTATAGAATATCTGTTCGGATGTTTGATTGTACCGACATAAAAACAACATATTATTGTAATAATTGAGATTTTCAGAGAATATAATTCCGATCTCTATGAATAACAATAACACAATTGCAATACTATGGATTGGTGCATAGCGTTTACTTACTTATTAGACGCGTTTGTAAATAATTATTTATGTGTTAGACGAAAAATCAAGAGACTCCGCTGCACTGTGCCGCCGAACACGGCCATTCGGGCGTAGTGGCACTTCTCCTAGAACACGGTGCTGATCCTACCATAAGAAATCACAAATACGAAACTCCTTTAGATCTGTGCGCACAATACGGAAGGTAGGACTAAGGACACTGTATAAACAATTATAATACACTATAACCAAGCACGTATACAGCGGCGGTAAGGGTTCGAACCCCCCCTTCTGTAATTTAAAAAAAAATGTATTATACACTAGTTATCTAGTTTAAAATATTTTATTTATTTTATTCGTAAACAATTATTTTTTACATAAAAAAAAAAAAACAAAAAATGCTAAAAGAATAAAAATATTACTTTAATTGTATTCACGAAACAAAAATATTGCTGACGCAACTCCACATTGAACCAATATTAAAAAACAATTGCTTACAACATCCGCACTCTATATAGTTATAAATTACGTACAAAAAAACTGTATATTTCACCGTGTGATTCGGTGGTTTTTGAAATGTTCTCGTTACGATTATTGTACGTTATGTTTATACGGTTTTTTAGTGCTTGTTGTTATTTAACGGTATAACAACGTTGCAATAAGACACGACGTTTTTATCGTTGTTTATTAGAAACCGAACATTTTGATTTACGGGCAATAACCATAATAATACACCACTTTTTATCACACTTTGAAACGGGGTTATGAGTGTTTTAAAAACATAAAGTTTTTTTATTACTCGACGGATGCAAAATGGGTTGTTTTTTTTATCACATTGACATATATTTTTTTTTACTAAGAATACGATATTTTATTTGAATGAATAGACTGGAGACTGTGGAACTGATTATTACACAACGGCCAGAACTGATACGATCGTACAACTCTCGCGCCGCGGGCATACGGTTCATAATTTTTGCTCATACTCCCTTACATTTAGCAAGCCGAAATGGCCACAAGTAATGTTTTTTTCTCATTAATTTTTGCCTATCAATATGTTATTCTTCTATAAAATGCAAGTTGTACGTTTTCAAATCAGAGCCGTAGTGGAGCTGTTATTGGCGGCCGGAATGGATGTTAACGTCCGTACCGCCAACGGCACTGCTCTTCACGAAGCCGTTCAATGTGGTAAGACTGAAGTAGCTAGAACGCTGATTAACCATGGTATTAACACTCGTATAAGGGACAATCATGTACGTACGGTGGAAGATCTTCTGAAACAGTTTCCGCCAAAAGCCGGTCCTGCTGTAGAAATAGCAGCCATGTTGCAAAGTATGCAAATTATTAAACAACATTTTAAAGTTAATACCCATTATTGTTTTGATTTTTTTTCTTCACTTATTAAGATCACCAATTCAATAACAACAACGATAGTGACATGGAAACCGAAAGGAGAAGTGAAAACGGTGATTCAGTGTCAGTTCCTCCGTTAAGTAGTCCTTACGAAAATAATATTTTATCACCTAGTCCTTCTCCTACGCGTTGGGAAAAGCACAAAAGCCGTCGAGTGTCAGAGTCTTCGGCGTAAGTCTAGTAAAATTCAAAATAACGGCCATGTACAGTATTATTAACTATTATTCCTCATCTGTATAGATTTTCTGATGGACATTACCATACCGGTCGTTGGTACAAAAACGAGCCCACTCCACTTTCCAGGTCTTTAATAGAATCTAGTTTTCTCTCGGGTCCCGAATTGGACACTGTTAGTATAAGTTCTTCAACGACTTCTAGTGGTCATAGACCCGTATCATCTTTTTATATGCCGATGGCACCATTGAATCAAGCATCAGCTAATATTTCCGTAAGCTATATGAAATATAACAACATCTAGTCCAAATGTCTATTTTTAGTTTTGGTTTATTTTTGTTATTAACAGCCCGTGACATCCAAAAGACTGACACCTGCAGCCGATTCCCCTTCGCGAGTGCTCACTAATAACAGTAGTGGAGCTTATGAATATTTGTATTTTGCGACGTCGGGCTCCCCTTCCTCCGATCAAAACCGTCGGGGAGAAGTACTACGTCGGGGTAAGTCGGCTGATCAATATGTCGAAATGAAACTGCGACCAACATCAGGAGAGGAACCTGTAGCATTAACTTCAATTTACCAAAATGTCCCGATTCGCACAACAAACCCCCGAAGGAAATTAAAACGGCACGATAAGGATCCGGGTGCTATATTATCACGGGGTGATTTACAATTCAAACGTGTAGAACTAGAACCCGCTACAACTAACCAAGTCATAGTTTCCGATCATAATGGCTTTATTACAACTACAATTTCATCGTCTAGAGAAAGTTTACTTGATGGTGGCGATGATACGCCTTCGAATAACTGGCCTTTAAGTCCTACAAACTATCACCAAGCGCCAACTCCCGATCATCCACCACCATCACCGTTTCAAGCTGAACGTAGCATAGATGCGAGGATACGACCATTAAGTCAGGTAAAGTACAAAACAATGTTTTAAAGAAAAGTAGAATTAATTAATTCAGTGAAAAATAGCTTCAATTAAACTTTCCGTTCATAGAACTATAGTAATCTTAAAAGAAAATCAAGAGATATGGAAACAGAAATTGAAGAAGATTTATTAGTTATTACTTGGGTTCCCGAATCGCACGTATTATTAAACGACAAAAGTTGTTCTACTAACGAAGAAACTCCCGTAGAAGAGTTTGTCGGAGATACGACTTTCGCAGGTTTGTCAAAAGTAAATAAATTTATAAAAAAAATGTACTTCTTAAAAATCGTTTTACGTAGGCCTACTCAAAGGATCTATCAATAGTAATCGCGCTGAAAGACCAAAAACTTTACGTAAATTACGTTCAGTGTATGATCCTCCGGTCACAAGTCAATCTCCTGGTTCTGTAGAAGATCAATCGAAAAATTCTAGTTCGATGCTAAGTCCATTTGACGAACAAGAGGAATGGGCAAAGATATCAGATTTGATAACTAATCTAGGGAGCGGAAATGCTAAAGAATCTATGTGTAACGAACTCGAAAAAGAATTTCAAGCAAGACTAGGTACTGTTAAAAAATACTTTTTTTTTTTTTTTTTTGGTAGTGAGTAGTATTTTAAAACATAAAATATTGTTTTAGGATTGAATAGATCAGATAGCAAAGAAAAGTCGAAAAAGAATGGGAGTGACAGTCCGATGACTGTTGAGTCGTGGTTGTTCGGATTAGGTTTCCAAGACTTTGTTAACGCATTTGTTGAATTTGGCTATGATAATTTGAATTTTATTGTAAGTACTTACAATTTGAAAAATGTACAAGTAAAATATTTAGGGTATTTTAATTTACAGTATTCAAATTAAATTTTACCAGACGCTATTATCATTATAAAAAAAAAAAAAGAAGCATTATTTTTTAGACTTATTAATTAATTCACATTAGCACGTAAAATATTTTCGTTGAAATCGAGTACACTTTTTTTTTTAATTTATAATTTTAGAACGGTGTATTAGTAGCAGCGGATTTGAAGGACATGGGGATTGAAAAAGAAAATGATAGATCGAAGATATTAGAAGCAGTTGTCGATTTACCATGCGTCGTAAAACATTTCTGGACAAAACGGTACACCAAGGATATTCCAGAAGCAAAAAGCAAATCTATCGCTGATTTGGACAAAGTTGACGACGAAGAAGACGCTAAACAGATGGAAGAATGGTTGACTAGCATTGATCTGGCGTGTTACATAGACACATTCCGTAAACATCTGTACACGGATCTCGAACGAATCGCAAGAATCTGGGAAGTGGAACTCACCGCGGTGCTAGAAATCACCAAACCCGGTCACAGAAGACGAATATTGTCGTCCGTCGATAACAGTAAGTCTCAATTGCTACAAGCGGTTTCTGTTGGTGACGGTTTGAACGACGTTGGCAACGATCTAAAACAATTGGTAAGCAATTTAAATAGTTTCCTCAAACTCGACGCTTGAAATCATCATTTCTTCCTATAATTTGAGTAGTTTTTTTTTTATAACTTGTAATATTGTGACACGAACTATACACATTAATTATTTATTTTCCGAATGCTATTATTTGTTACAGAAAAACAACATTCAATCACTCAGGGATAAAGTAAACACCAAACACTCCGTTCACGTTACTTCGGGCACGGCTACACTCAGACATAACCCGAAAAAGTCCAGGCACGCTCCTCTCCCTCCGCCGCTCCAAAATGCCATAAATCGCAACAACAGTGACCTGGTCATCAGAGGACCTTCCGAACTGCTTATCGGAGTCCCTTCGACGTTGGTCACTCAATGGAGACACCAACCGGCCGCCTTGATCACCGGCAACGTCAAATACATTGCTTCGGTAAGTTTGAAAACAAAAATAAAATTTACATTTACAAGTTCAGTAAAGTATATGTGTCAAATAACTGAGATCGAGGAAATCACCAAATGTCATATAGCGTCCCGCGTTTGTTTTTGTTTTTTTTTTTTTTTTTTTTATAGTATTTGGGTTCCACCGAAGTGAAAGAACCCAGAGGTACGGAGTCGACTAAACAGTCAATACAAAAACTCAAGCACACCGTGGCCGCCGGCGCTCAACGGACATTGCCCGAGGTGGCGCTCGTGATATCGTACCGGGGAGTGAGATTTATGGACCCGGTGTCGGGCAGTCTAGTGTGCGAACACGAGATCCGGAACATAGATTGCGCGTGTCAAGATGCGGATGATCTGAAACATTTCGCGTACATAACCAAAGACCATCACACCGGCTCAAATTACAGTCATGTTTTCAGCGTGTCTTCCATGGTGAGATGATATAAAAATATAACAATACCAACAGGGCCGTATTTAGGAGATAGTTCGGGGGAGGGGGGGGCAATATCCGTTTGAAGTCAACGACAGTTTCGTTAGTTGTATTGCGAGTTGACTGTAGCAGTTACAGGCGATGGTGTAGTATTGTAATGAATATTCGGTTATTCATTCAGGTTTTCGCGAAAAATATATGCGGTCTCTAATACAAAATAGATGGTGGGGGGGGGGAATTCGACCTTGATGACGGGGAAGCCTACAGAAGCTCATTGACGTTTTTATCGTTGTGCATAGGATCAAGCGACCGAAATAATTCTGACGTTGGGCCAAGCGTTCGAGGTCGCCTATCAGATGGCGCTCAAAAGTCAGGCGGGCGCGGGCAATCGGAACGGCAATAACGGCCACACGAGATCGCATTCGGCCAACCACGTGTTGCCGAACATGATTGCCGGTGCTCGGGACGGTCGGAGCGGTTCGCATCAGCACGCCAGGTCTCATTCCGTGAACGAGATCAAAGTGAACGGCATCCTGCAAAAAGGCGAGTCCAACGAAAAGTCTTAAAATATACTAGTCCGTAATATTATATAGGTAGGTACTCTCGCGACTTACGAAAATGATACAAATTTAGACATTTCGGCATATTATTATTATTATAATATATAATAATTGTATTGAGTTCATTCAGTTACCAGATATTTTCGTGTTTACCAGAAGCGTTGGTTTATGAAATATGATATTGTAAGAGTAATATGCGTAGACATTAAACACATTTATATATATATATATTACCTAAAGCAATTTTATCTTTCCAAAAAAAAAAAAAATGCTCAATATGATTACAAAACATAAAATAAAATTAACACGCTTGATATAAAATACAATTATATTGCTCGTCTTTTTTTCGCAAAACAACTCAATATGCAGTGAACAATTTATTTTATTTTATTTTTTTCTTTAAACGTACCAACATAATATTATTATTATTATTATTATTATTATTATAGCAATTATTAATATCAGATTTTATGAACATTCGTATCTCGGTAGCACTTATTTTAGAAAATATTAGTCTAATTCGTCGTCTAATTGTATAATAATATTTATAAATAATTAATTCGTAATTTATTGATGATATAATCTTTAACTTAAAAAAAAGTTCACTAACTTACTATTAATATTGTTATTACTAGATAGGTGCTAAGATCGTATTCTTAATGTTTTTAATCGGGCGTTCCTATTTGATTTATTATTATTATATTGATATAAAAAAAAAACGCATCAGCCATATTATAATACAAAAAAAAAAAAAATAATAATAATAACAAATAAACCGAGGCCAAATATTTGATTATTTTACACCCAATTTTTTGTGATATTTATAAAGCCTTTTTACATTTTATTATTATTATTATTATTATTATTATTATTATTATTATTATTTATTATATTATTGTACATATGAAAAAATGTTATCTCAATTTTAATTTTTTTTTTTTTTTTTTTATTTCCATTGTAATTTATATTTTAAGTGAGGACTCAAACACCAACCATCATCTTCCTTTATTATTATACACTTTATAATATTAGATTACCTATACCGTACAATACAACATAACGATTAACATATCCACGCGTACACGCGTAATAAAATCCCTATGATAATGCACCCGCCTCTTCCCGACGCCGCCTCCACAGTGATAGACCGCGGACCGTGCGTACGGGGTTAAAAGACGCACAGCTATCGATATCGAGCGAAAGTGATAGAACTATAGCGAAAGGATTAATCACGGACAGAAAAACGATAAGACATTCGTTAGTAATAAAGAAACAATAATAACATAATGTTCTCTCCCGCGGTCAAATGACCGTCCGATATTTCCGTCACATTCGCTCGTCCAAATATCCGTAGCCGTCGCGCAACGCCGGCGGGCGGCGAGGGGATCGAACGCGCGGTCTGCAGTCATTACGGTTTTGCGTCTATAATATTAACATTTTTGAAATATATTTCCGCATTTGAGTATAAAAATCGTCGAAAGCTGTGTTTCGATGTTTGTTCGCTTTTTAACGTGTGATTTATCGTAGAGAAATATCTATTGAAACAATATAATGTAACCAATACAAAAATGATATTATATTATATTTACGATTAGTCGGTTCTGAAATTATTATTATAACGTACGCGATAACCGTTGCTTATTGTTAACGTGCATGTGTGTGTGTGTGTGTGTGTATGTATATATATATAATAATGTCACTGAAATTAATTTGTTTTGTTAAACGGTTGTGAACGTAAATATTATTATTGTTGTTATTATTATTATTATTATTATTATGATGATGATAATAACTGTGTGCCATGCTATACGCAATCATCGTTGTGACGTTGTGACTCCCGAAATAATAAATAAAACGAAAAAAAAAAAAAACCAAAATATACTTACATGTTTTACGTTAACGGCGTGAGTGTTTTATTTTGTACGACTTTGTCGATACGGCGTGCCAGCGCGCGGCGTGTGTCCTCGACGCGCGGTTTCCTTTTAACCGCGTTGTCGCGAACCGTGTATATTTAAAATACCTATACATGGGTAATTTGTCGCGACCGGCCAACAATGACCGCGCGACTGCGAATGTTACAATGCGGTTTTACGACGGTACGACATTGAAAACGTTATTGTAAACACTACGCGCGCCGACGAAAACCGGCGTCTGGGCATACGGAGATCTCGACGAATCGCCGGCGGCCGGTCGATCCGGAACCGACGGCCGTGTGAGTTATTGTAATTATGCATTTTCCCGCGGGCACTCGATAAGTAATACGCGGTATAAGGTAAGTGGTGCCAATTATTTTCCGTGCCTTGGTAAATAAACGAAACGATAATAAATAATTTTTGAAACACTATGGGCAAAAACTCCACGGCCGGCGATTTGAGATTTTAAAATAATCAGTCGGATATTTCCCGGCCTTCGAAACCTGAATTTTGATCATTGAGTATTTGTGCGAGTTTAAAAATAAACATTCCGTGATAAATTGTTTCCTACAAATTCATTATTTGATTCCGGAATCGATTCAGCCGCACAATTTTCGCACATTTTCGACACTTAATCGCTTATTAATGTTGCCAGATCGAAAAAATAATTGTGCGATACGTCTGCATTTGTTTAGTGAATCGTACAGGAGACATCGAGGCATAATTCTCCAAGATATTCTTTAACAAATATGCGTGTTACGTCCTATCGTTTTTTTTTTCTTTTATCATTCCAGTGTCATCAATTATTGACGTTTACCTATACGCGTCGAAATCGTGTGAAAATGTGCAAAAATTCAGTGACATATCGAATCGTTTGAGGACTTCGCAGACAACTATCATGAACTACTTATATTTGAACTCATCGTCATTGTTCGGACACCCCACCCACCCGGGTTTTACCCGTTCAGTTCGGCAGCAACTTGTGCATGGGTTATAATAAAATAATCCAGTTTCATATTGAACACAATTTATTCGATTTATCTAATGCACGAATTTACAAATAATTACTATTTTGCGTTGCATCACTGTTATAAGTTATAGCAAACAATTTTAATTCGTAGGACAGTAGGTACAATTTTTTTAACCCCCCGCCCCCCCCCTCTGAAACGGATTCGTTAAATAGTTCGTCCGTCCAAAAGTCATCCAGAATCCGGTGGTAACTGAAAAAATGACCACTGCCCAGTTCGAAAGACGTCAACCACCCGCCCTCCCGCCAAAATTTTGTCCGGCACAGTTGTCCCAAAAAGTCTCGGTCGTGCGGCCACTGGACACGAATAAGGCGGATAGCCCGTCCAACCTGCGTGAGATATGTGCGAAGAACAACATTATTACATCGTGTAGTTGTTGGAAACAGTAAGTCGGACGAAACAATTAGTAATAAAGAGTACCTATATTAATTTTACAGTTATGTTCAAATACGTTTCCCCACTGTGCAATTATTCGTTTCAGAAATGTTGCTAAGACGTTCTTTTGAAACATCATAAATCGTGTTCCATTTAAGCACGTTTAACATCCTTGCAACTCTATTTCGGCCGTAATAATGTCTTTCACACAACATCTTTTAAACATCACATTTCAACAACCGTATAACAGTTATATACAACAACTCTGTGATGGTATTTCCGCAGTAATAATATCTTTTGCAGAATATTTTTTTAAACATCACATTTAAACATCCGTACAACAGTTATATCTTGTTAAACTTGTTAAAATTACGTTAATGCGATGTCCCGGGCACTGCTAATAAACCGTATTTGTAACTTAATCAGATACGTTTTAGAGATATTTGTTTCTAACATATCAAGAACCGCAAAATAGTGATTATAAAACAACATTGAATACGGAAATATGCGAAATAAAAATGAAAAAAAAACCGGGATTTCGTTTCAACCGCCGCCGGGTATTTAATCCGATGCCCTGCTTATCCTAACCTGATTTCCTATCCACTAGACTACCTATCTGACTGTTGACAAATATTGTATTATACATATGCAGTGACATCTCGATGTTGCGGAACGGGGACTTTAACCTCCTCTAAAGTGTGAAGACCAATGCCGGGGGGGCAAGTGCTCCCCCCATTTTTTTGTTTATTGGTTATTTCGGTCTATTTTATCGCTCTACAAAATAATAGCTTACACAAACTCGATTATTGCCTCCCCCCCCAATATTGTTTGTTGTTTTGGTTTTGGTTCTAAAAGACAATAGGTCTTGAATATAAATAATGTAAAAATTCGTGTAAATTCAACATGTCTATGAATATGTAGGTAGGCACTTAATTCTCAAATAGTACTACAGTACTATTAAGTACCTATTTTCGTTTGGAAAACCTTACGGCACACATGGTAGCAGCCATGGCGAAAGGCAATAAGTGACACGCAAATAAAACTTTTTCTCCGACCGCTGGTACAGCAGGTCGCGGCAGAGAGCAGAATGTGCATCATATAGGTAAATGAGAGTTGGATAGATTAACCCGGTCGACGTATTTGACGGCCGCACGTCGCGTTTATTGAAAATTAAATGCATAACGATGGCATTACGGAAAATCCCGAACAAAGCTTCAACGTAGGTATATTGATTTACATTCGCCTGGTCCGAGGATTGTGGCCCTGCAACGGACCATTGACCCGAACGCGCGTGTAGATCTACGTTCCGATTTGCCGACGGTAAAATGAATTAAATTTATACGTTACGGGCGAACAATTTGGCGGTTTTCTTCAATGCCCGATCGTTTCATAAAATGCCCACCGTATGTATAGGGCAATATCATACACTTTGCAAAAAGTATTTGATTATAAATTATTTTCGGCACGTATCGTTTTATAACAGCCCTTCATACCCCAACGGTCATTATATTACCGTTGATTCACGCATTTTATTGCACTCTATTAGTACCTGTATACGTTTGATTATTAAGAAAACAAATTTTCCTAATACGTCTGACCCCCTCCCCCCCATCCTATCTATATCCAAGCTTTCCGACTTATCACCTACAACAGTAGCTGCGCCCGTCCCCGTTATCCTAGAACAGCTTTTTTATCCACTTATCACGTTTTCGTGTCATGTAAAATAACGTATACATAGTCCGCCCATATTGGAGAACGAAAAAGTGTACGAGTTCAGTATAGGGATGGCATATCCGATCTTTAGTATCTATGGTAGGTGTATATGAAATAACAATGACGTTATTGCGATATCGTTTTACTTTATTCAAATTTGATTTGAGAACACGGCAGTTTCAAGCACTGGCGATATCGTTTTATTATTATTATAGATTTGTCAATAAAAAAAAATGCGATTTACCTATTGTAAAAATGATTATTAATCATTTCAAACCCCTTGATTGTAATACTGTCGGAAACATTTTACCGGGGAGCTATTGTCTTAATTTCTTCAATATTAACTTAATATTTTTACGAACCGGAACTCTAAAATTCTAATTTTAACCAATCGGCGAACGGACGCAAAAGCTAATATTACGAATCGGAACGCCGAGCCCATCGGGTGCGTTCCGATCTATTTCGAGCACTGGTATTAACATAGCGAAGAGATGTTCTCTAAAAGTTAAATTGTATACGTTGTACGAATGTTATAAGTTTATAATAAAGTAACAGTTAAAAACCGACCTCCTCAAGCCGTCTTAGTAATATTGCAATGCGATGTTCCGTATGAAACACCAAACACGCATCGCCAAGATGTTAAAACGTTTAATGGGTTAGTACTTAGTACAATAATTATTATTCCTCGTCTAGTATAATGATTATCGTTATTCCGGTGAACATTAATAATAAACACGACGAAACGGCAATAAAGTGTAGGGAAATTATGAATAATTTACGCCGAGAAATCGCGGTCGAACAATTTTAATGGCCGACGACTACGAGACGATCGTTCCTTGAGGGGTGGCTTTATACGCGAGGGACTTTTGTAGTAAAAAAACCGACGACATAAAAGACCGAAATATATTTTTAGCGGTGAGGGGACCGAGTCGGAAAACACCGGGAAAATCATAATTAAACATGATACAACGACTATATTATTATGTATGCAAATCGAAAACCGAAGCTACAGACTCGCAATGTATAATATTATACGTATCGTATAAATAATAGACAAATCATTCGAAACGGCGCGATTTCGCCTTCCGAATTTGCATTGTTATATTGCGGAAACGACGACAATGCCGTCGAGGAATGAGAAAACGAGGAGACCGCATAAAAGAGAAATAAAAATGAAAATTTAAAAAGAAAAAAAAAAATTAACGTCTTTACGATTTTACGCTCGTCTCTGTCGCAACACAACGGTCGTTTTATTATTCGCATCCGTCTGTGCATTCTTCTTCGACACACTGGAACCACTGTAAATATTATACAGGGTAGATTTTTTTTTTAACTACAATGATTAACGTACGTTAACTCAAGTTCAGTAAGAACAACATTGCACTGTTGGAAACAATACGAGAGAAAATTGGTCTGTTATCAAATTTAAAGGTAAGAAAACATTATCTGCGCAACGATGTAGGTGTTTTTTTGCGGATATTTTTAATTCTTAACGAAATAGACACATTTATAAATTGTGATACTTCAAACATAGTAATATCTCGCTTGAAAATTAAAATAACAAAACAAACCTCCACGGTCGAACAACTAATGGCCTTAATTTTAAGTTGCATAAGAATAGATCAATTCAATTTCGTATAAAAGCCAACCGCACAAAGTTGTCCCTGCTAACCGTAAACTTGGTATATGCCGTACGTTTATAAGACGGGGAAAGCACACGCGTGTATCACATCGTCTCATTAATGTTCTACTAATTCCGATAATTTCAAAACTCATATCGTACTCATTCCGTACGCCATCATAAACACATCGCTATCGATTTCATCGACTCAAGACCCATAACCACATTCGAAAATGGAATATTTCCCGAAGAATATTATTTAATATAAGATAATTCGAAACGAACGGCGAAAACCTAAATTAATTCTGCTCGAATTCTTTGTTTAGATAAGTAATAGCTGGATCGGGATGATTAAAAAAAAAAAAAAAATCACCCTGTACCCTACCACAAGGTGTAAATACACACACATATTATACTTTCTTCGTTTTTTTTTTTTTTTTAGATACCACAATCGAAAATTCTACTGGTATACATATATGCTTATACTTATATGCGATAGTAATAATAATAATGTATCGCGTGTTTACATACGAGTAGTTTCGCATTTCGCTGACTCCCACCGTCCCTCCCAATGCGTGCTTACGCGTACATAATAATATATCCGAAAGCCGGAGAATATAATACATATATGTATGACTGGATGAGGGGTGGGCGGGTTAATGGACAAGTTTGTATGTCTTTGTACCGCGTCTATAATATGTATACTTTATTTTTATTTTTTTTTATGTTTTCTCGTTATCGTTATTTCTTTTTTTTTTTGCGTGCGCGGAATGGAATCTTTTCATAGCCGGAGCCATTAGGAAAATGGAAGTGAAATAAAAACGTCGTGGTGGTATAATATGCGTGTGTAGCAGTGTATAGGTATATGCTTTCGAAATATACGTATTATTTTTCGATTAAAAGCGTTTTGAAAAAAAAAAAGTTTGTGGAATATAAAACGCGTATATATATATATATATATATATATATATTGTTGAAATCGAGTGATGAGGAAGAAAATGGCGGGAAACCGACGGCATAGATGGAAAGGAAAATTCGTAAAAAATTGGTAGGGGGGGGGAGTGCACGGTGATACGACGACGGGAATACGAGAAAAATCTCCGACAAATGGAGAATATGTTATTATATGCGTACGTCACGATGTGTGTCGTAGAGAAAAGTCGTTAAGACTTTTCCGAAAAACGCGTACCCTATCTTTATTACCCTACTCATACTTTGAAGAAACGCGACAGTGACGATCAGCTAAAAAATATTGTCAATAGTTTCGATTTTAATTATCGTCCGACGGGTGCTATTGCTACACAATAGTATAGCGTTTTAGATTATGAGTGCCTATAAACAACAAATATCTACCGGAAATCTTGATCCGATCAAAAAATATGCTCTCTCCCTTCAAAACTGTCTCCTAAACCACTGACACACCCATCGTTAGTACCTAACGGCCTTTTTTTTTTTTTTTTTTCTTGGTTCGAAGTTTTTTTCTAACCATTCGAGTGCGCTTGACAAACGTCTCGATCCGCCGGACGCGCGCCCGCCATTCTCTCGGGTTTTCTCCTCTTTCTTTTCAAAACCGCGCGTGGTATTCGACCGAAAATTCATATCATTATTCCTCGATCACTTCAATAATAATAATAATAAATAAAATACAAGGCCTGCGCCTGAGTATATACTTGACGACTCCGCGAGAGCCATGTTAGGGACGTCTCTTTGATCACCCGTCATCAACGTCATCAACGTACCTACGTTTGTATTTATATATATGTATTTAGAATACAACTCTCAGTTTCTCGACAATATAATGTCGTTATTAATATGCTATATCAATACATAGGTACTTGAAAAATCCACACGCCAAACAGACACTTCGCTGTTTTTCTGACCTCGTCGTTACGCAGTTTATATTTACGCTATAAATCTTGTTCGCGTTTACTAGCATGTGCCTATCTATTTAGCAAAGCTGGACAGTGATGGACAAGTTAACGAATAAAATAAAATTAGTCAAGTCAAGTTAGTTGAAAATATAATGCCGATGTGTGTGTGTGTGTGTGCGACTGTCGTAGGTGGGAAGATATGAATATCCACACCGTATGATTTGTGAAATTTAGACTAATAATTTACTCTATTTGAACCCGTCTGTTTCCGATTTTCAATACATTTTAAGATTAAAATAATATTATACAAAGAACTTTAGTTGCGTGTACTACAGTGATTACGTTAGACTAATCGAAATCGTATCGACTTTTCAGCGTTTCACTCAAACGTAACGCTTGAAGAAAATAGACTGATAGCAGAGAAAGACTAACATTAATAGAAAAAGATACGGGCAGCAATTTTAGACGTATACTTAAGATACGCGTGTACGCGAAATTCGTGTATCTAACATAAACGTGCAATTTTTATTACACGAGTAGTTCGTAAATTACCAAATGATGCCACTATATTTTCGAGATCCTGAATTGTCACATAATAATATGAAAACTGGTATTTAACCAAAATAATACGTTTTAAAATACTACCGGAACGTCCTTGGAAAAGAGTCCACACTCGAATACGCTATCGATATGATATTGTAATAATTTTTGAAATTATGTAATGCGTCTTGTTTATATTTTAGTGTTTGACTTTGGATATTTTTCTTCAGGCATTTTTTACTCTAGATATTTTCCCCTGGATTCATAAAAACTACGGATGAAGACGACTATCACTGATTAAAGCTGACGCGCACCGTATCCCATCCATATTTGTATTTCTATGTATGCGTAGCCTATCGCGGGGCATGGCGAATGTTCAAGCTATATAAGTTGGTATGTTTATGAAACGATAAAACGGACCATCGGCAACATGGCGAATTCAATGAATTGATTTGTTTTTTTTTTATAAACGTTTCCGAAAATTGCCGTCGCGGGCCCAAGGTCGAGTGCAGCTATTATACCGTGCTACAATATTATCAAAATACTTTTAAAGAAAATGCGGACGTCGTACTATTGTTATGCTCATAATACTAAAAACCGATAACATTCGATTATATGGAGTATTATTATGAAGTTAATATCGGTAATGTTTATGCGATCAGTTAAAAAAAAAAAAATTAATGATTCCGACCGCGTCTATTATTGTTCGACGAATTCCGAAATACAGGCGGTATAATAATAAAAAATATTAAAATAAATATGCTCTCGGCGTGTGGTGAAACAGGCCAACGGGTCTGAGTAAAACGCGCAATTTCGTATAAAGACGTGCATAATATCGTGTTTGTATTATAATTGGTATGTAATTATTAGCAACACGTGTCGCGATGACAAAAACATGTTACGAGAATATTATTTCACTCGCGTTATTGTGAACGCAAGCGAATTTCTAAAACATCGATTGCCATATTTTTGTTTAACATAAACAGGAGGCCGCCACGCGTTTGAATCAATAGTCATTAACGCGTTCGTATAATATAACGGCAGGGCTGGCTAGAGAAGTTACTCTAAAAACTAACATATCCAAATACAAGTTAGAAGTCACTTTAAAAGAAGTGTCCAAAACAATAGAATAATTTACATAAAAAATTCTGAAAAAAAATCCTGACATATCTAGTTTAATAACATAGTGCTTGAATATTTTCATTATCATAACGTTTTTAATTTCGAAATATGTTCCGTCTAAAATCGGAGAGTAATGTTGTTCGTTGGTTACATACATATTATTAAATTGAATAACTCCCAGTTGTGTGACTGAAATAAACTCGAAAAACATCGCATAATTTGTCAGACAAATGTGAATGTTAGTTATCAAAATTAATAAAATGGTCGTGTAACGATATCACGTTTTAATTACATACTTTATCTTAGTGTTTAAGAGGAAATCGTTCATTTTATTTGTTAAATGTTTGAATTCTGTACATTTTTTTAATATACCAATATTGTCGAATGTTAATAATTCTGCAACATTATACTCTATAAAGGACAAATGTGCAGAAACATTTTCAAGTTTAAATTTTACCACTTTCGCAAAAAGAAGCTCTTTAACTAATGTAGGTTATCAGTATTGATTAAATTACCAGTTTACCGAGCTCCGCTCAGTTGTTTTTTGATTGCAGTAATATTTCAGTATACACGAAATCATCCCATTTCCATTATAGTACCTTCCCGTATTTCCGTTTTCGATACAGCGGGCTACCCGTGGTGTAAAATGTGTTTATTTTAAACTGTATAATATGTTCAACGTTCAACTCCCCGCGGGTAGCCTTTTCGCCACCCTACTGAGCAGTTTTCGTTTTTCGTCCAAGTGACTCTCGACCGTTATCACCATGTCCGTTTTCCGCCAAAGGTTATACTCAGATTTTCGTCAAAAAAATGAATATACTATTTTAGATATTTTTCGAGAACCCCTATTTACACCGTATTAGTATTAGCCATTGTTATTATTACCTATTTCATCACGGCCCTGGAAATCGTTAATGCGGAAGCTGGTGAAAGCTTCATTAGTCAATCGATACCACGACCGCGTTAGTGAAACTGTACCGACATTTATCGGTTTTCATTTTTTAATTGATTATTTGACTGCGTTAATTGTGTTTTTTTATAATGTCTGAAATGACAACGAGTACTTGTGGGGGCAATCATTGTGCTAATTTACAAAAATACAAATAAGAAACCATTCGCATACATCTCGATATTGTGGCATTACGCGATGGAGGGCCGGAGGGTTTCACAAGCCTCTGGCGGAAATGGACGCATAGTGATAATGGTTGAAGTTCATTTTGACGAGAAACGGTTGCACTGTGCATACTATCTTAGGAAAAAAAAAAAAAAATTAAAATACAAAAATAAGATAACTCGTTGAAATTATCACGTTATTTTCCTAGCACCTATTGTCACAATATTAAGTATGTTTATTCTGTACGTACGCATTTCTGGAAACGGCTACCTGACTATACGTTGTTATGAAAATAATAATTCATATAATTATACACGATTCCCTCCCTCGTTTACGCGTTATGTTTTCGAGTTTAACAGTGAAATGAGAATAATAATATTTTGTTCGCGAAATTTCGTACGCGGAATCCGTTTTCCAGGAGACTTTTGAATAATATTTAAAAATAATTGGTCTTTGTAAGCGTAATATAACGATGTTTACTCTGTTTGAAAATTATAACGAGTGCAATATAATATGGATTACTTTACTCGTGGGAGAAGGGCGGCGCGAGCTACAAACTCACGAGTCGTAAAATGTACACCGTGAGAATGTTAAAAAAAAAAATAATAATAATAATAATAATAATAACAATAACGGCCGGACATAGTTCGCACCGTGGATGGGCCATCACCGTTACGGTGATGAGCAAACAGAAAAATATACCATGTAGGATATTTATAGTTTATTTACTGAAAACGACGATAAATCGTTGAAATTAATTTGAAATGATTTTGAACCGATGCACCGTATTGAGGTTGTGTATTTTTTCTTCTGTACAACCAAAGCGATCGGCGAAATATCGACACAAAGAAAACCCATGCATCGGCATTTGCTGCAGCGATTTTTTCCGTTTTTCGACAATACTGTCAAAAATCTGTAGACGAGTTATTCGTACTACAGCGCGGAAATTTCGGATAATTTAGGAAAACGTGATACCCGCCATATTGTCCCGATTCCGTCTTATAAACGTATATGGTTTTGTGCTGAAAACGATTTGGAATATTTTTTTATTAACTGAAAAAGTGTTTTTTTTTTTTTTCCTGGAATTAAAACCCGAAAAACCCGTTCGACTGTCGGGAATTTCAATGGAACATTTCAAGTAAAATACCACGCCGCCGGTCGGAAATCTCGCGTATTTTTAAAGGTACAGCGCGAAAAAAAAAATAAATAAAACCCGATCGAAATTCACGCGCCAAAATTATTGTGTTCGTATATATATAAAAAAAAAAAAAACAAAACAAACGGCTTCTGTGCGTCGCGCCCGGCTCCCGAGACGCGAAAATCGGTTCGGTGTGCAAAGCTTAAAGTTTCGCATAAACCGTAGAGCGCGCGGGGAATAGTAATAAATAAACGTATTACAGAAACTGTACAATCAGGTATCCCGTATCCCGTACACGTGCGGTCGATGAGCTCGTACATAAAATAGCGAAATAACGATAACAGAAATAATAGTATTTCTTACGAGATTGCGGTTTTTGCGACATCGGCTGTCTGTGTGTGTACACACACGTATATATATATATTTCGCATTATATTTTTACTACGTTTTTATATACATATATATACCTATCCAAATCAATCGGGTAAGAGATTTTACCGATTTCCCGGGGCGCACAATTACGGACCACGTCATATTATTATTATTGTTGTCGGTTATATTGCGACTTTGTATAAAAACTCGCGGTTTTCCGTCGTCCGTTTTCTCTATTATAAGGGATCCCGGTATATTTTTCCGTATATAATCGCCGTCGTCGGGAGGGAAAAAAAAAAAAAAACGATGTTATCTAGAAAAAAAATAAAAGATATATATATATATATATAAGTAAAAAGTAACGTTATTACGCTTATTTCTCCGCCGTTTATATTTCCAATCGGTTTTTTTTTTTTTTTCATCTTTTCATAAATATATATATATATATTATAATATATGTGCACCGCAGTCACGTATATATATATATATATATGTATTAGTGAGTTTTTTTACAATTTTTTTTTTTTATTTTTTTAAATCCAGCCCGCACGCACAACGACCGGGATCCGTTCCAGCGTAAAGATTTATTTTCAGGGGTTGCACGGTCGGCTGGGCAATCGCGGCCGATGGCTAGATACATACGACGATTGGAAATCGAAAAAAAGGGATGGTTAAGGGACGATGACGACGGCGACGTGGAGAGAGAGTTCGCCTTTGGCATACATATACTCGTGTGTATACATATATATACACGGAGAGATAGAGAGAAGGAGAGAGAAAAATGACGATGATGGAAAAGCCAGAGATTTAGATTCAGATATATATATATATATATAATTTTTGTATTTTATTTTTTTTTCACCGCCGTCCCGTCATTCTTTCACCTTGGATAAGCGAACGTTTTTTGAATGGCAATTCCGCGTAGTATACGAATACGTATATATTATTATATGCGCGTATACGATGACTCGAGAATAAATATTACGGAAAAAAAAAAAAAAAAATAAGAGGAACTTTTTTTTTATTCCGATTTAAAATATATGTAATACAATACAGGTATATTCCGAGGGCAAAAAAACAAAAACGAAAAAAACAAAAACCCCGGGTATAACACCCGCATAACTTTTAACGTTTAACGAGCGACTAAACGATTTATAACGAATGTAAAATATCGTCTAAAACCGTTATTGTTTTCGGTGTGCGAAACACAAAACGAACAACGCCGAGATTTCATTTCGAAAAGCGCGGTGACGGCGGCGCGCCCGGACGGGCTGACGGAATCGCGCCGCGATAAACGCGTGTCGAGACGTTACAACTGAAAACCGCAATCGTTTCGGACAAACGACCGATTAACGCCGTTGCACTGCGGTGTTTACCGAGCGCGTAACAACAAACGGCCATTGGTCGACGCGCTTGAGGTGTCGAACAAGTTACCGCCGGGTTCCGCGGAGGCGTCGCGACAGTTTCCGGCAGCGGCGCGGCGAACGCCAGTGTTCCCGCGCGGGGCGCGTAACAGGTTAGGTTCGGCGTTTTCGCGTTGCAGTTGCGCGTCGGAATGTCGAACCGTTCGACCGTTCGTCACCACTCCGTACGACACGCACTGCTTTGTCCCGGCAACGAAACGTTTTGACACGGGCCGGGGGAACCGGGGCGGCGTTCATTTCCGTGCGGGTACTTTGCTCGGGGCGCGAAATACGTTCGTCGCCCCGTCGCGGTCGTCCATTGATGATTGTTATTATTCGCACACAGCCGCCGCCAGTAATACGGGATAGAGACCCGCGTCGCTAACGGCGGACGCCGTAAAAAAAAACGTCGTTCACATAAACGTTCGGTTTTTATCGAATTCGCCTCGGAAATACGTGTCTCGACCGTGTTTCATTAGGTTTTAACGGAAATGCGTAATTTGTTCGCATTTTACGACAAAACGGCACGTTTACTGACAATTAAATCAAGAACATGAACACGACGGCGATTTTCCGGCGTCCACCTGACGTGCAAATCACATGTCGGTTAATCTAACGGAAACGGCGTTGAATACGATCGCGAGTTAAAATTTATTTCTATTAATTGAGCGTACCGGTTGCTACAGGTTGCTTAGGTTTCGTTAAAATTGAAACCGACGCGGCCGCGTATCGAAATGTCTCGCGAGGACTGGAAGCGCGGAAGTAACGGAAGTAATAACGGTATCAGAAACGCGTCCGGCGTCCGCCGTAACAAAAAAAAAAAAAATAAAAAAAACCATCTCGATATAACACAACGGTTTACTCGGCGCAGTAAAACCGTTTTACACGCGGACCGGCCCACACGCGTGTGCGCCTACGGTGCACAACAGTTGTAACGGTCAAATATTGTGCCACAAATCGTGCATTGTACGGTGCATAGTCGCGGCGATGTACGCCATTTCGACTCGAACAAAACGCTGTAATGGTCCGAACGTTTTGCTCGGACGATGAAAGGGTTTTGGAGAGGTCGCGTAATACCGACTGGTGGCATTGGACGTTTGGTTTGTTGTAATCGTAACGCGATCTGTTATGTTTTTAATACGACCTAAGTAATAGTGTTGCAGTGTACCCACCGTTTTACGATATTTGGCGGGCGTGACATATACGTGTAACAGCAATTATTGTCGTACACGATAATACGCAAGCTGTATGTTATCACTAAGGCCCGGATGTTGTTAATGGCCGAAATTTCTTTAAAAAATGCATTTAAAAATGTCAAATATGCAAATATATGCAAAATAAGTTTGCACGCGTGTTTGAAATCTAGATTTCATGAATCGAATGTATAACATATTCGGGTATAATTCTGATTTCGCTAAAAAAAAATATGCAAAGTCAAAAACATCCGAGCACTAATTATTACATATTATATTTTTAGTCCCTAAGACGAAGAGCTTCGGTAAATTGTATAAAAAAAAAAAAAAACTACATACCAATTTAAATTTACACACAAATGACAAATGACGAGAATTACTATGGGAAAAATAATATTAGGCAAGTATACTGCGTTTTCGTACAAAGCCGACGATAAATTAAACGTACATTTACTAAAATAAAAAATAAAAATATTCGAAATAAGTAATTGGTTCATTAAAATCATAAAAAAATGTATATCTCAGTATAACGATAACCGTTATTATCCAGCCGCATTTATTATCAAAAGTATTTGAATATTGTATTAATTTTTAGAAAATTTAGAAGAAGTTAAATGTCTTCGTATGGCAATAAAATAAATGCAATTAGATGTATTTTTGTTTCATTTTGTTTGAAGGGAACTTCAGTAAAATTGCTTAAATGTATTGTATAGAACATTAACTTAACGTGCCACCAATAAGACTTAGAAAATTACCTATGCGTATAGATAAAAATAGAAAAATTCGGTATGTATATATTTTGGATCAGAAAGATGAGATCTGAGTGAAACCTTTGTGCTTAATTTATTAATTCGTGGAAGTGAAATGTCCCAATTTGTGTACGCGGTACATTAAAATGTGCGGCGTTTCCGCCTTGTGTTCTTTTATTTGACAAAATGCTTAGATTCCCGACATTTTGTTTTATGACATTTATAAAACAGGACAGCAAACGTTGATATATCAGTTTTATTTTTGTTGATTTCTAATCTACCTTTGCAAAATAACCACATTTACTACTACTCCCAGTGTATCTATAAATATATAAATTAAATTACTTATTAAAATAATTATTAATTAATTTGAAATAATTTTCAAACTTCACATCTACTACACGCGATTTTGGGTTTATTTTTTAAAAAATTCAAAGTTTTAGAATGCCGAGTCTTAGATGTCTGTGAAGTTGGTTCCTAACTTTGTCCGATCGATTTCGGATCTGTAGAATGACAAGTTTTAGAATATTTTAACTTTTAAAAAACTGTAATTTAGAATATTATTATTGATTAAATATTGTGTAATTTTATTATTGTTGTCAATTTGTATTTGATTATAATTAATATCTATTGACATAGAATTACGATTAAGAAAAGAAAAAAAAAAGTAGGTGCAATCAAAAAATAAATTATGAGAGCTATCGCTAATAATATTAAGTATTGAAAATTATTATTATAATTGTTTTTTTTTTTTTTTTTTATAGATAAAAATTTTAATTATGATTTATTTTTTTTATAATTATAATTATGCTTCTCTGTATATTATCAAATTAAATTACAAATGTATTTGAGCAAAAAAAATAAATAATTCTAAAACTTTGCATTCTAAAAGATAGCTTTTCTAAAACTCGACATTCTAACACATGACTTTCTAAAATATGCCCCAGTACTCTACATCATGTAGAGTACATGTAGGCTACATACATGGTCGCGCGACCGTGTTAAAACTTAAAACTTGTAAATTTTAACAAAAAAAAAAAAAAATTTATTGTATTCAAATTTATTTATTTTTTATATGAAATTGTCTGTAGTAATTATCACAGACAGTAGAACAGCTAATATATTTCTCGCTAAGTTATTATACTTAAATATATTCGGTGCTAAATCGCATTAGCGTGTCTGTAAGGAATAGAAAGTCACCCTGTGACCAACTTCCTACTCAACGACTTCATGGATGTTTTTAGTTTTTTAGAGATAACAAATCGTCATATAGGTGAAAAAACAATAAAAGTAACGAAAGCCGTAGCGTTAAGTCTTTGAAAATAAAATTCCAAAAGGATAATAATTATTTTTATCCGGAATGCAAGTATTTCTTTCGAAAAACAATTCGAGTGTCGTAAACATACAAAGAAAACTAATGGAAAACGGGCAATAATAATATATTAAAAAAAATTTTGATTTTTTCTCCGTGGGCGGGTCACTGTTGTTAGCGGGAAGTTGGGAAAACTGAGTATTTATGATAGCAAGTAATTTGATTAAAATTAAAATGTTCTGTGTACGCAACGATAAACCGTTGCTGGCGAAAAACAAGTCTGAGCAAAGTCCGATTAAACGTGTTTTGATTTAAATTTTAAAACCGTATTAATTTGGAACTACAAAATAAATTATTCGCGTTTTCTCGTCTTAAACTTTCATGTATTTTTGTACACAACCAAAAAAAAAAAAAAAAAAACAAAAGAGCTGATACTGGGGACAGGTGTATCACTGTAATGTAGGTGAGAAATTGGGAAGGTAGGATACATAAAATTATTTGATTAATATATGTAAGCAAAAATAAACTATTAACGTAAAACGATTCGGAGCGAAGTTCATTTATACATGTTTTGAAAGGTATAGTGTATATTTATGATTTTCGTTAAAATTTCCATGTTAGAACTCCAATAAAAAAAATAATACTACATTATAAACAATAACTCAATTTTCTATTTTTGACTAAGTACTACTTGTAATGAACCTCCTGTTAAATTTTCAAGCATTTCTGTATTGATTAACAATTTTATCCACAGAGTACCTATACCAAATAAAAAATAAAACGCTAGAGATTAAAATGTCTATAAATATAAATAACTCAAAATGGCTCAAATTTTTCTAAAGTTATCACGTTTAAAAGAGGCAAATTTACGTTTTTTGTCAAAATTTCAAGTATTTTTAACCGAATTACAACAAAAAAATTAAATTGAAAATAATAAAAGCATTATTTTTGTAAACATTTCCGTTCTTTCTGTGTCTTTTTTTTTTTTTGGTTATGCTCAATTATCAAAAATTATTTTCTCGATCACCGATCAGATTAAAAATTCAACAAATAGATATCTTGATGTTTTTCTATTGGAGCAATATTTTTGGTAGAAAACGGCAAATGCGAAAATTTAAAACAATGAAATCGTGTAACGCTATAGTTTGTCAGTTTTCATTTTACATTTTTTTTTTCCGATTTTTCCTAATTATTAATAAAACCACAAGGAAAATGATAAAATCATTACGAGCGCAGTTAGGTGAATTACTGCTTTGAATTCGAGCGGATCAGTCTAACGACGGTTGTCCCGTTTTATCGGCATCGTTTAATTTAAGAGTGTTCTCTCACTGAACGCGTTTCTTTGCCGTTCGTTTCCATCGAACTCTCAGCGCACACTTCAATAATCCTATTTCCCGTCTTGGTTCGCAGTGAATTAACGAGAGGCTACAAAACAACTCGTAGAGGCGCTGCTCGATTCCGTGTGCGCCGAGCGCCCGACAGAGTTGGCGAAAGGACACGCCGCGCGCGTTTCCCTTGAAAAATATTGAAATCTCCTCGAAAACCGACATCGACCAACGCGCCCCTGTCTACACTTTCCAGAGAACGTTTTATTCCGTCCCCTCCCCTCCCCTCCCCGGTAAAATTACCACGCGGGCGCCCCAACTTTCGAATGGAGTTGGGCCTCGCGGGCCAATAGAAATTTCACGAGTCCCACGGCACGGCGGGACGCGGTATTTCGCATTATGAATTGCCGGCGTAACGTTCGAAAACCGCGTGTAAAACAATAATACAGCGGTCTGGTGTGTGCACACTGGCGCGCGCGTGCCGCGCACAATATTCGTTTATATACGGCACGTTGTTTTTAATGGCGTTGTCGAGTAAAAACGATTCCGTACCGGAGAACCCTTCAGAGACGCCCCGCCGGGCGTGGATTTCTCCTCGTGCACTCCTCGGCGGCGACGTCCGTAGAGAAATTATTATTACCGCAAACGACGATTGTGCAACATGTTTTCAGAACTCTTTTCGGACATCATGTTACAATGGACATAGTGCATTCTCGCGCGTACACCGACACACCTGCAGGCCAGTCGGACGGAAAACACATTATGCGTTTCGCCTGGAAACTTTATCGAAACCCGAAAATACAAAACGATTGAAACAACGCTCTAAAAGGTTTCCCGGTCGTCGCACTAACTCGCACAACGATTCGGGTAGGCGCGTCGTCCGCCATGCCGTTTCGGTCGCCTTAAATATTGTTTTACATTCTGCTGCCTCGGCTAGCTCGTCCGCTTCAGTTGGCTTCAGTCACTTGCGGCGCATGCCACAAATGAAATGGATACCCAAACAATTGGGCCGAATCCGTTTGGACCGTTAGAGATTAGTCTCATCGGCCCGCACGTTAAGGCGGAGCAGTCTTCCATAAAACGCGGCCGATCGTTTATATTGATTAAAGCGTTTGAACGATTAGTTTAATTCAATTTTTTTTCTTTTCAGAAATAATATCGGCTATTGTGAAAGTCGCTATTAGAAATTTAAATGCTACAAATTTTAAACATTCAAAACCGAAAATTTGTTTCTCGGTAATTTTCTCTCGTGAAAATTGTTCATTCCCACAGTAATTTTTTTCCTTTATGTTCGCGCCTTGGGTTCGTATTTATATATGCGGTCAAATGAATATCAGCCAGTGGCGTATCCGAGATTTTTTTTTCGAGGGGGGGGGGCGAAGTCTGATCAGTTACACATAACATTACAAAAAAAAAAACAAACATAATAACTGCAAAATTTTAATCATCTAGCTTTTCCACCGTTCGAAAACTTATCTAGTACATTATTATTAGTATTATCAGTGATATTTGCGTCACTATAAATTGACAACAGAGCTAATCCTACAAGCGGTGACTCTGATGTTGTATTTCGAAGATAATTTTTCAATCTCCTTAATGTTGAAGAACTCGTCTCGGCGTGGCTGTTGAAACTGAAAGTATTGATAGTAATTTAAGAAGCCCATACATATCTGGGTACATTAGCGCGGTTCAAATTGCTGTAGTGTTTCGATAGCCGTCAATGACCGAGATTAGATTCAATCGGGTTCCATTTTGACTGTCATGATAATTGATATTCCGATTCTATAACGTCATCATACACTTCTAAATCAGCCTGGTAAAATGTAACTGCTATTTTAAGGTTTGAATATGATTTAATTCCAATCGTGTTTAGTAAAACTTATTGTACGGAGAATTTATTATTTATTTACGTGATAAAAAAAAGGTTCATTCAATATACGTATATAGTATACAGTATCTATGCGAGGTATGAAAACTGTTTTATAAAATTCTTGAGTATTTTGAAAAGGAACATTTCGGCGGTTTCTCCGAGCAATACACACTCGTGACACGTATTTTCTTCCGCATTTAATAAATCTCATGAGCGATTAACTTCTTCGTAAATCTGTTTTCAATTTATCAGCAGCGTTTTCTCTCAAATCTGGAAATCGAATTGTTACCCCGATTCGCTCTACCGGGGCCGTTCATTAGAACAATATGTTTACTCTGCGAGCATCCTGATTAATGACAAGTTCAACATAACGGTTCACGGTTTCGGCCGCATAAAAGATACGGAACGTCAATGCAAATTATACGGTACCGAAATCGCGATCTCGAAAGAAAACAAGTGACTTTTCTTTCCTTTCCCCCTCTGCCCCACCCCTCCGCGGTAGAGGCGCCCGTCGCGCGCACTCGTATTATCGTATCGCGGTATACACGTGTACACGTACGTTGCGTCGTAACGCGGGACGCCTGCTCTGCCGTCCGCATCATTTTACCCCCGTCGCCGTCGGCCGCACGTGAATATCGCGTGCACCGCCGTAAACCGCCAGTAAATAGTCAACAGCGAGCGCCGCACGCGCGCACTCGATCACCGGTGTCAATAGGCTAGGACCCCGACCCCACGGAAGTCTCGGGTATTAAACCGTGACGTCATTGCCGGCGGCCGAGCTTTTACGCGCGGCCGGGTCATTAAAACCGTCGCGCAACAATGTATCATCTCTCGCCAAAGGGATTTTTTTTTTTTATTTATATATATATATATATATATATATATATGGTTTTTTTTTTTTTTTTTATTTTCAAAAAGGGGATGCGTTTTGAAATTTTCACATCCGGCGGGCAATAATAATAATAATAACGGGGGGTGGGGAGGGGAGGGGAGGGGAAGGGGCGAGGAGGGAAAATATATGTGTAAGGAATATTCTCCTATAATTTACATGACAATCGTCGCGGCACGCGGAGCGGAACAGTGTCGAGATCCGGCGGCCGACGACTTCCCGAACTTCTCGACGGACTTCCGGCGGGGGCGAGCCGGCATTATGCATGCGACGCGCTATATTATAAAATATAAACGTACACGCGACGGCCGCACCTTATTGTTTCCACTGCGGCCGTACTGTATAAGTGTACACGTCGCCGTGCGGAGTTGCGGAGGACGCGGCTCGATGGACATTAGGTGCGGCTGGACGAACTATGAAGCGGGCCGTAAACGGCTGCTTCGGCAATGTCGCCGAGACAAACAAGGTGTCGACGGCGGTACAGTTATCATATCGAACTGTTACGGGATCAGCGTAGAGACTTGCGAACGTCGGACACGAATACATTAGAGGACATAATATGCCGAAAAAAAAAAATAAAAATAGCCGGAACGCGAAAACGACACGGGATTGTCACACACTTAAACTTTGCGTCTCGACGGAACCTGTGCAAGACGCATTTCGTTCCGTTTTTTTCAAGTCCGCCCCGTAACAATCCTGTGGTTTTTTTCTTTTACTTACCGTTCGTGTATAACTTTTGAAATTCACGACGTTCTTATGACATTTTTCAACAAAATCTCTACTTTATAATGGAATTTTCGGATTAACGTTTTGACCATTTAATGGGTATTTTACGCGCTACGTTGTATGTTTACAATGAACAAACTTTAAAAAACAATTCTTGTCACGAGCTCTAGAATATTTAATTAAAAAAGACAATAAACTACCCGATGCAATTAGTTCAGCACAAAAGTGCGAAAAATCAGCGGAAAAAAAATTCACCGATCGCGTCATCAATCGTCGTCAAAATAAAATCGAATTTTTGTATAAATATTTTATTTGTATTTGAAAACCTTTACGCGCATTTATTTGGTTTCTCAGATTGATTATACTAATAGTCGGGTTTACTTATTGTACACAACACTTACTTTATTATGCATCGCGTTTAATTTGTTTTTATATTATTTTAACGGTCGCTCTGGGCTAGGGACAATTAGAAAAGGTACGGTATGGTGTGTGGAATGCGGACGGATAGTGAAATCTAATTCCGCCCGGGCGGAATAAAATCGGGCGGTGGCGGGGGGGGGGGCAAAGAAAACCGCCGCGATAAAAACTCCGGGATGTTCGTACAAGCCGAGACGGTCGCGCGGAGAAAAGGACGAGAAACGGTGAGACGGCCGAGAAGCGATAGGCGAACGAAAATGACACGGGCTCTTCGCCGCGACTTTACGAGATTTTGTCCAATCGAAACTCCGAAGCGGGGGTTTTTTTTTAAATTTTTTTTGTCCTTCTCGAAAAACCATAAAACCTGTCTCGCTCCCGCGTCCAGCGGCGTTCGCGTCCGGGGTCCTTGTCCGCGGCGATGTTCGCCGCGGACAAGGACGCGGGGCTGCGGCGACGCCGACCGCAGGGGGCCGCCGCGAACCCGCGACCGCGATCGGGGCGACGCGGAGATCGCGCGTGTGAACTTTTTTCGCCGCACATTGGTGCTCCGCGCAGTCTTCACCCGTGAACACGTACAGACGACAGTACAATGCGGACCGTTTCACGGCGATAATGTCCCGCCGCCCCGGCGGATACCGCGGGCGCCGCCATGATGATAAAACGTACGTGCACGCGTGTAAGCGCGGGGATCGCGATATTATTATTATTATTATTATTGTAACCGACGACGTGTTCGTGCGTGGCGCGCACGCATCGCCGGCGGTGCGGCGGCGGCGGCGGCGGTTTCGCGACACTGCACTGGCGCGGTGTGTCGACAATGCGACAATACGTCGGCCGAAAAAAAAAAACTAGACCGAGCGTGCAAGCCCGCGAGGGTGATTCGTACGCGTGAGTACGCGTGAGTATTTTTCTTTATTATTTTCCGCGGGCCGCGAACAGCTGTACCGCCACCGGCACGTAACGGCGGTGTACACCTACGTGGGTTGGCGGGAGGAGGGGGGGGGCAGAGTGGAGTGTGTTATCTTCTTCTTCTTCTCGCCCGTTGTCAAAAGCGCCGCGGATTCTCTCGGATGAGCACGCTACCGCGCGCATTGTACGCTCGTACGTGTAATCGTCTGCGACGCGGCCGGGTGCGCGTATCGATCGGAACGTCTTCGGCGGCGGCGGCGAGCGCTCCGTCAATACGTTCAATCACCATAAACCCTAATAGCCGAACATAAACAGCGAGCGACGGGACCGACGAATAATAATAATAATATCGCACGTACGCCGCAGCAGGACGGTGTATTTTTAACGCGCGCGTACAGCCGGCCCGCGGCCCCGCGGAAAAACGCCGGGGCGAAAGACGCGGGGCGCGGCACGTTAACGCGTATTAGAACACCGCGTAAAAACACCGACGTCCTCGTATCGGTTTCGATCGGCCGCGATTGTGCGTAACATAATAGGCGCGTCCGCATGCGACGGGGTGTCGGGGCGGTTAATGGATTTTCATTTTTTTTTTTTTTTTTTTTCTCTCTCTGTTCTCCCCGTCTCTCTCTCGCCGCTAAATCGTTACACACGCCTCGGCACGGACGCGACGGCGTGTTTTAAACAAACCGAAGGTATACGACGCGCGTAGTACATAGGTAAATACCGCGGCGTGTAGACAATCGCACGAGCCGTGTTCCGTCGGAGACGCGTTTTGTTCTCCGCGCGTTATTTCACAGCCCCCGTTCAGACGTGTGACCGATTTCGGACGCTCTTGCGCGGACGTTTGAAAACGTTTTGGAAAAAAAAAAAAAAAAAACGGGAAAAACATTTATTATTGTACGCGGAAATATTATCCGCGCGTTCCGCATAAACGTCCGCGAAACGCGCCCGGCTGTTGACCGTTTTTTTTTGGTAACGCTGTACGGTGTCTAACGACGCGGGGACGCGGCCGATTGCGTACCTGGAATGTACGTTCGGAACGTCAATGTTTCGGCGTCCATTCGGAATGCTACTCGAACGTGTTGTGGCCCAATGTGCGCGTCGCCGTTTTATTCCGGTCGCATATGAATTACCGGAAACATTAAAAAGAAATTGTTAATTTTACATTGCATTAACGCAAATCAAACGCCGGTCAGAACTGATTTGCTGATAACGTTTATGTTCATACACATATAATGTAGTAAGAGACATTGGCGTAATGTAAAAATGTTGTCAAAGCAGAAACACTCTATAAACATGACATACCGACGGATTAAAAACTTTCGTATAGTAAATGTTTCGAATTCGAATATACGAGTAATAAGAAAAACGCAAAGAATGGAAACGACGGTGTGTACCGGCATTTGAAATTGAACTTGAGACCCCCCGCCCCCCCTAACATACTAAACCATTAGCTTATATGACTGATTGTTCATAACCTTTAGTTTAACGCAGCGGTCTTCAACCCGTGGCCCGCGCAGTGCCGTAGAAACACCGCGGCGTGGGCGGCTTATTGTACCAGGGTCAATAAAAAAATTCCAAGGTGATACACTGATACACTGATGTCTAATATGCCGATATTTATTGTTTTTAGATTCTGAGCGGAACGAGCGTTGAGTTTATAATGGTATTTATTTTATTATATTATTATTGTTATTTTTAATCGGCGAACAACTTATTTACTAAAGATTTTTCGCCGATTTCCAAGTGTAACACTTTCTGAAAAGGAATCTGACTGAGATGGTATACCGATGAGGCCGTTTGTATCTCCGAAAATGTATCATAATGATTGGGAAAAACCGAGAAAAAAACGTAAGAAAAATGTGGGGTTTCACGAAATGTATTGTGCTCAAACCGTAAATATGACGGCCATTTAATACACGTATAACCGAACTGCGCTCAGAATCGTTTTTCGTCAGCGTTAGGACAATTGTCGCGTACAGATGTACACTAAATTTCACATTAAACTTCTCATTTACAACGGTAGCCCACCGTCCATACAAAGTATATCTGTATATTTTTTTAGAGTATACGGTTATATTAAATCTTAATGGAAAACAATGGGTCCACAAATAATATTTGCACCGGGGCCCATTAAACACTGGCCACGGTACTGGGTCCGTGGGACGCCTGCGGCCCCCATTGTTATTATTAGTGACCCACGATCGCATTCGAAATATAACATATCCTTTCGATTTCGATAAAATTAAAACGGTCATAAGCTATCGCTATCGAAAGAATTTGGAAATATGCGATAAGAAAAATAAAATTACCCACTCGTTTTGGTAGTACTCACACTCGTGAGCATAAATGTTCCCGAACGAATATTGCCAAACCGAAAACTAGAGCTCGGTCAAATGACATACACTTGTATATGTAAAATTTTCTAGGGTTGAAAGACCTGACTATGTATACGTTTGTGCACCACAAAATAAAAATTTGGATGTGGTAAACCATGAAATTTAGCATACAGACGGCTATTATGACGAAAGTATCCGCCAAGAAAATATTTTTTTTTTTTTAAAATTCAAACCATAAAGGGTGAAATAGTGATATTTTGGTATTTTTGGTACGAATATCCTATTGTTAATTTATTTATTTTTCACAGTTATCTTGATGATACTAATGAAATATTAAAAAAATGAATTGGCCAGGGCAACGCCAGAGGGGAAAGCTAGCGGGCCGGAAATGGTTTTGGTATTCGATTTATTTGTTGATTTATATGTTATACCTTGGTGACACGAATCATAATATGGTTATCACAGACAAAATTATTTTTATTGTTACAGTTTTTTATACTTTTAATTAACTGTTCCGCAACCCTTTATTGCCCGTGCTAATTTTTTATTCTTTTTATCTTTATTTTCCGTATTTACAAAAATTAAAGAATAATGTTATACAAGAGAGCGGTGAAACCCGACAGTGTCAATTTCAGATTAAAATCGTTTATCTTTCATTTTTTTCTTCTTGATCTACTCCGCCCTCCCGGTCAATAAACACCACGGTTACACACCGTCACGGTGTACAGCATTTATTAGTAGTATTTTGCCATAATTTTATTAGGCTCAGCGGTTGCGTAAATATTTCTGACGTTTCTCATTAGTTTTTTCCCCGATTTCAAATAAACTACAAGAAAAATCAGAAATCGATTTCGCCGTTACTTCGACTTTAGAAGATTTGCTACTATTCCAAGAGGTTTTCAAAAATAACTGGGAAAAGCGGCAAATATTTACGGCTCGACGCGCCGTAAATACATTTGTCATTGCATTTCTAGGATCCAGTTAGTGAGTAAGAAAGTCGTTTATTGATTTTCCTTGTAATTTTCTTAAAGAATTGAGCAAAACTTAAAAAAAAAACCGTAGAAAGAAAAGAAAAATGTACAGAAAATATTCATAGAGACTTGAAAATATTACCCAGATAAATTATATTTGCCTTCTAATGACGCAGTAAAGTTTTTAAAATATGTGATTTGCGAGTAATTTTTAGTCATTTAACATTTTCGAGTTTTTTTTTATTAGATTTTATTCGGTAATAATGCATACTATTATTTTACCATACATACTTGAAAATTTATCACAAGATTCATTGCATTATAAGTTGTAATTGGCGGTAATGTACAGACATTTTTTTTTTTTTATAATAATTGTTTAACGATCAAATTCTGACAAAAACGTTTAACATCTCGACATTTCAAAACATTTGTTTATATTATACATGCAATTGCGTATTCAAAAAAATCTACTTAATAGGCTATGTATTTTTATCATGATTTAAGTATTAGCAATTTCCATAGTCAATTTTTATCGATTTATGACATTGTTTTGTTTAAACTATAGATTCGATAAAATCATAATAGAAAAACACTGCAAAAACTGAAAAAAAAAAATTAGTAAACATTGTTAACAACGGTATTGTATTTTTATGAAGTTTCGTAAAAATACATTAATTCAAACACAATTAATAATAGAAAAATATCAGATCCAAAAACCGCTGTCGACCCGATTGAGAGACAACCACGAAATTATAAATTTCTATTTTAGTAGTAAGACGTTCGTACGCAACNTAGCAATTTCCATAGTCAATTTTTATCGATTTATGACATTGTTTTGTTTAAACTATCGATTCGATAAAATCATAATAGAAAAACACTGCAAAAACTGAAAAAAAAAATGACTAAACATTGTTAACAACGGTATTGTATTTTTATGAAGTTTCGTAAAAATTCATTAATTCAAACACAATTAATAATAGAAAAATATCAGATTCAAAAACCGCTGTCGACCCGATTGAGAGACAATACAAACAACCACGAAATTATAAATTTCTATTTTAGTAGTAAGACGTTCGTACGCAACAATTTTTCTATGAATTTTCATTGAAATAATTCGTTGCAGGGTTTAAATCCTAAAAAACAGAAATATAAGATTGGAGTTTAAAAATAATGATTTACTACATTATTGATATTTTCACCTTGAGTTCAATTTTTAATTTTTTGCATAAAATTTCTATTTCAAATTGAAAATTCAATTTTAAATTCGGTTGACGATGAAGATCACTCAAACAATGTAATACATCCAACGTCCACGGGCTGGTAGTATTAAACACCTATACAGATAGGACTCAACTCGTCCTGACTCAATAATGACTAACAAGATACGCGAGATATTATTTTAAAATATATCGTATTCATCATCATTAAGAAACGGATTCATACACACTTAAAATTTACAAAAAAGCGATTAAAAATATCAAAAAAAGCTCTAAATAACAGCTTATAAACTGTTTGAAAGAGAGATAATGGTAAACAGATTTTAAATATCACCTATCTAATTGCTTTCACTTAACAACAATTGTTTTTTAACACTACAAAAATGATTGGGATAAAATGATTTTTTTAAAATAAATTTTTAAGTGTTATAAAAAAAAAAATACTTCATCTTAATAATTTGTCACTGTAAGACAATTTTATTAAATGGGTTAGAATCGTTAAAGTATAGAACTTTTAAAATCACTCTACCACTTTTGCTTTTTTAAAATATTTTTTTAATGGTTTTTTTGCGGATTTTAATTTGATATAAATCTGTTCCCTAATCATCATATTAAAAATATATTCCTACTCACTTTAATGTATGCTTCTGTTTCCACCGTTATTAATTCTGAAAGTTTTTCGCTGTTTAACGAATTCAAAAAATTTAAATACACCGTATGGTGATTTAATTCGATATTGATACGATTTGTTACAATATACCGTGCTAACCACGGTATACATTTTTCTTCAGTTTCGGCGATTATACTTTTTACTTCATTACACTATATATATGATATAAAATAAAATAAACAAATTATTAACGTATAGTATTATACCGGCTACAGCGTATTTGACTAAAATTATTTGTACTAGTTTTAATTCGTGTAAGTAAATTACAATATAATAATATTAACCTTTGTTTGTAGATTATGTTCATTCATCATGTTAAAAATAAAGTTTATTCTTTCTTTGCAACGTTTCACAGATCCGACCGTTGCAGCTGTGTTGGTTTTTTGACAACTCGACACATTGACAACTAATAAAAATAAAGTATAAGGTATACAAAGGGTATTTCTTTTATTTCTGCGGATATTTTGAGCGAATATTATTTTAACTTTAAAGTCCTTATACTATTATAGGCATATATATATATATACTGTTTGTGTCGGGAAAAAATTTTGGATTGTCATTATTTTTATGGCGAAGAAAACTCCAAAATTATACACAATTTTTTCATTAACATAGGCTTAGCAAAACTACTTAAAAAAAAACATGTCTCACTTACTTCCCCCGCTGAAAATCACAATAATAATGTATCTCCACAGTCTTAAGAACAATATTGTGTAAATAATAGAGGCTAAAAACATTAATAGTTAAAGTCTTACCTACTCAATAAAAAAAAAAAAAACAGAGATGTAGATAGTATTTTAATCGGTTCGAAGTCGGTGTAAAAAAATAATTAACTTTATATTATACACGATTTAGTTTTATAATAATTGCTGTACTCACTTGGCGGACCAGTGCGAATGGGAGATTTTGTATTGGCCGACGGTAGAACGCGTTGCGTATTACTGCCGGTCGAGCTCGGACCGACTGTAGCATTGGGATACGATGTTTTACTCAAAGTAACAGACGCTACTTCGGAAATTTATAATTAACTTTATAATGTACATGATTCCGATATTGAAAATTTAGTTTTATAAAATAATTATAGCTATACTCACTTGACGAATTGGTAACGGGTCGTGTTTTGGTCGGCGGTAGAATGCGTTGCGTAGGAGGAGTCGGACACGTTGTTTCAGTCAAAATGACCGACGCTACTTCGGAAATTTATAATTAACTTTATAATGTACATGATTCCGATATTGAAAATTAAATTTTATAAAATAATTATAGCTTTACTCACTTGACGAATTGCTAACGGGTCGTGTTTTGGCCGGCGGCAGAATGCGTTGCGTATTACTGCCGGTCGGTCTCGGATCGACAGTAGCATTTGGATCTAAAGTGTCAGGGAGGGCAGCAGTCGCTACTTTGGACGTAATAAAAATAGCTGCCTCTGGTTCTAAGATCCGAATAAATGCTCTGTAAATAAATGTACGATTTATTTTTAAGAGTATACGAATTTCTAAAACACTAAAAATATCAAAAATAATATAATACTATTTTTATACATTCTTTACATTCCCCGTGAAATTAACGACTAATCGAACAATTTAGGGAATTAATTTTGTACGGCTGTTTTAATTTTAAAAAAAAAATACACAATTGCACGTACCTTAACAACACGACTACGAATCGTGTCAGTTCCACTGCGCTTCTTAAAGTCATCACGACTAACGACAGAATCCACAGAATAATTTTTGCGATATAGCAAACCAAACTTAATGTAGCAGACGTCATTATAGTTGTACGAGTATAATCCAAGAATAAAGTATTGAAAATATTTGAAACAAATATTATATTAATAATAATATTTATTATTAACGGACGAGAAAAATGTCTTTAAATCAATTGATGTTGTTTAATAAATTCTAATCAAATTGAGCTAAAATGCAAAATATGATCGAAAACAAAAAACAACTTTCAAAATCGACGTTAAAGGCAAAGTGATTGAATATCCGTTAGCAATATTACAAGAGCTAAAGAAAAACTGTTGCCAAGTGATAAATAAACTGAAACGTAACATATGATTGACTTGGTGTGTGTTTTCCCAAAGTACTACCAATATATTATAACAATATTATAATATCCGCTTTGTGAACCCGTATTAAGGACGAATTGGGAGGTTACGGTTGCGGTGAACTTTGAGGTGGTTTTTTTTTTTATTTTATAAGACCTTAAATTTATTATTATAAGATCTGGTTTTTATGGAAATCGTAAATATTACGATCCTTTAAATATAAGATATAAATGAACTGCGCTCAAAATCGTTTTTCGCAGTATCGGCTATTTTTTTTTTTTTTGCTCTGAGGAATTTTTAGATTTTTACACTTTTCGGGAACTTTTATATTACAAATAACATTTATCGAATGTGATTTTTAACATTTTAAATTTCTCTGTCATTGATGTTAAATGTGACGTTTAAGTTTCAGTTTACTTGTTACCTACCTTTTTGAAGTACATAACGATTTGTCACATAGTAATTTTAAAAAAAAAAGTGTATAACAATGCGCCACTGTTGTAGGTGCTCCCAATCTCCATTGGGAAGGTAAGATCCATTTAATTGTTTCAAAAAAAAATGTAAAGTTTATTGTGAAAGAATGGTACATTACGTTTTATTCATAGTATTGTCTATCACAGTCAGTAATTTTTCCCATCTTTCTGGCAACATTCGGATACAACGTCGGAAGAACTACTCATCTTTTGAGGTTATCCACGAATCCACCCAATTTTCGGTATCTATTCATATGATGGAACGCGTTGTTCAGACAGATCATGCACCATCGGCCGGAAAAAGTGATTATGAAGAGGCAATATCTGGGTTGAGTTTTCCAATTTAGGGTTTTTAAATAGATTTTGACCAGTATTGAGACATGTGGACGAGCATTATCACATAGGAAAACAATCTTGTCGCGTCTGGAATAGTAATCAGCGCGTTTTTTCTTGAGCGCTCTGCTCTATCTCATTAATTGTGTTTGGCAGAGAGCTCTATTAATACTTTCGCTCAGTTTAAACAGCTCATAATACACGACACCGAGCTGATCACGCAGCATAAGTTTTTTTTCCATGATTATTCGGTTTAGCTGCCTATGTTGAAGTATGACCAGATGGTCCCCATGATTTTCGCTTCTTTGGGTTATCATAGTGGATCCATTTTTTATCACTAGTGACTATAGTATAGTCCAATAAACTTTAATGGATATTAAAGTTATCAGTTCAATTTCAAAATATTATATATTTACCTGTACAGTGGCACGTCAAAATTTCGGAACGAAGATTTTCAACTCCAAACTGAACCAGTGGCGGTTTTTAGGGGGGGAGTGCGATAGGGACGATCGCCCTCTGAACTTTTTTCCGTCAACTGTTAGGTATGTTCTGTTTATTCATTAATAATTAACAATCGAAATAAACATTCGATAACGGTGTTAAAATCCCGTAACAATTTTTCAGAGCGCGATTTCTGTATAGGTAATAATATTTTATTGTTTGATTTATTTTTATTTATATTTATTATTTTTTTTTTCAAATATAATTACCTACCTATTACATCGGACGCATATAAACGCGCACGTGACTGAGGGAAAAGTTTGGAAAATATATTTCCAGCAACGGATATGTTATAATAAATCAAAATAATAACAACGGAAACGACTGCAGCGGAACACATCACGAGAAATTCATTAGTAAAACACGCCATGCGTATGTGCTAATTTCATCATAATTCGCGCGACACGTGCGTTAATATGTACCTGCAGCTGTTGTATGGAACCCAAACGACATATTATTTTTCTCTCGTGATATTCGATTAAAAATAATTTTCCAATCGTGAAATACGTTTAAAATAATAATAATTTATATTTTGTATAGTGAATTCTTCCGACCTGCATAACATTATTTTTAAATTAACAAAATTCCGGCGAAATATTGCACTCGGGTATAACACGCGCTGCAGTTTCGATTACAGCTAAAATGAAAACATTGCAGTAGAAGTACATGCAGGCAAGTAATGATTGAAAACGATACAGGGTGGATTTATTTTTCTCGTGATCCGGCGATTTTCTCGAAGAGGATTTTAAGTGAATTTGATTTCTGTTTTAGATTCTAAGTGGTCGAAGAATGTTTCGGTTTTACAATTATGTTTTTTATTATTATTTTTTTTTTTTATGTAATCACTTTTTATACCAGAAAGCATACTCCGATTATCGAGCATAGCATCTTTTCTGAAAGGAAATATTCTCTGGGTGGTACTTTAAAGAGGTCATTTTTTGAAATTCTTATTAATATTCCAGATAATGATAAAAACCTCGGTCTTCAGGTTAAAAAAGATTAAAAAATTAAAAATAATGTTGTCGTTGGTAACCGGTTTTATTTATTTTTTGTTATTATTAAGTTTTTACTTTTTTTAAACAATCGTTGTTATGGAAACGCGCATTGTTGTAATCATTATGATCATATATTGTATTGTTGACAAAGCAATACTATCAATTGAACTCCGCTCAGAATCGATTTTTCGTTAACAATGGTTCATCGTTACTTATAGATATACATTAAATTCCCGTCTGTATCTTACCTTCCCAACGTTCCAACTACAACAGTAGCTGCACCCACGTATATAGTATGTCCGTCCTTTTTTTTTTTAATCCATTATTAAATCCTTTAAGCTTTACTTTAACATTAATTCTACATTTTTACCTTTACTCTTTGTATATATTTCGCCTTTACATGAGTACTGACTTTAAATTTTTCGACGAAAAGACAACTCGTTATCAACACGACTTCAAAAAAATAATATTTTATCTAAACATTTTGATATAAATTTAAACTAGTATTGAATTGTATGAGTTTAGAGTAATGGGTTTAAGATATATATTAGGATATAACCATTTTTTTTTTTTTTACTCTAAATTAAAATAATAAATCAAGCAGAATTTTATAGAAATTTATATCATGTCGCAAGGAGTTTTAAAGTAATTTTTCTATAATTTGTATAGTTATAGTTAAAAATTAAACCAAAGTTTTTTCTGATTTTTTCTGTGATTTTTGCATATTTTCTATTTTTTAATTATACGTATATACTGGTGACAAAATCTCATATTTAATATATACTTAATGCTTATTTCAGAGCCTAAAGAGCTTACTAAGCTTATTAAGGGCTTATAATGAAGATTTTAGGTGCTTTTTTGTTGTTTTATAAGTCCCTTTAATTTATTTATTTATGACTGCTTAAAAATTAGTCCGGATGAGTAGAATTAAAAATATATATAAAAATATTGTAAAGGACAAGGGTCAGTGACGGGATACAAGATTTTTTTTTTTGGGGGGAGGGAAACTTTTTGGTATTAATTTTGAACAATAAACACTAAATATAAAATACAGATAAGATAACAATCAATTATCAACATTAATGAATATCGTATTAATTGGTCTAACCACAATTTGAACGACGATTTATTAAAACTCATATTATTACAACTACAAATAGAATATATAACTGTCTAAGTAGGGGGGGGGCAGTTTTGGTTCCTCTTGAATTCACCACTGTAAATGGTTGTATAACGACAGAAAAAAAAAATCAATTTTACACAAAATTTCCGTGGATAATCGCCGAATTGTAAGAAAAAAAAATCACCATATACGATGAAAATCAAAACGAATATAATAATTAATCAGCTACGCTTCGCATGACATCATAATTTCTGAAAAGTATACTTCTTGGTGTATAAAACACAATAATAACAGAACTAAACCTTCGTCAGGTCGTCAAAAATGTTTCGCATGTGCTCGCGTGACGGTTTCAAAAACTAATTAAAACCCGGTCACACAGTCATAATAATTGTATTTACAGTGACCGGTTCTCGCAACAGATTTATATTTGCACCGTTAAACTTTCGAGTTAAGTCATTGAAATGACCGAGTTCAGGGAAAACAGGAAAATATAATAACCACCCACCACCGTCTGTATTTTTGTTATAGCTGGCGGCGTAGCTTCAAATTCGGTAATGTAGGTCAAACAAATTCAAACTAAACGGTTGAAGTATTAAAACACCCAAAATCCAAAAAGGAATGAATTGTACATCCGATTTTCGAGGAATTATATTTTACATTACACACTATACAAACTATAAAGGTAACATGGTAAATACATAGGTAAATGGATTGATGGAATTTAAAAGGGGAACATTTTTTTTAGAGTGTGGAAACAAAATTGATGTTCCATAGATAGTAATTGACTTTAACCATTTTCCTCCAAAAAAATGATATCATTTTGCTCCATTGTGAATTTTACTATTATAAATATAAATATGTATATGTATATAAATTATAATTGTATATAATTTTCTAACATAAAATGTTGTCAAATTAGATCAAAAATGATCTACGACAAAAGTAGTGCGTAGTTGGCTACAAAAACTAATAAAATATGACGGTTTCTGAAAAATATTTTAAGTGCTTTCAACTTTTCTCATGAATAGCTACTCCAGTGAACGGCAATTTTCTAAATTAAATATTGTGAATACAAAATTAAGTTAAATTTTTTTTGATAACAGATAAAACAAACGATTCTGATCAACGAAATACACGAATTTGACTAATATTACGAACTATCATTTAATTTTATATAGTAATTTTTTTCAATCTTTGTAAAATAATAAGTAATCAAATTTACT